AACCTGCAGTGTGGGAGGAGCGATAAACAAGTCGCCGGGTCTCTGCCATCGCTCCACGCCCCCGCCCCCTCTCTGCCCCTCCCCCACCCCTCCGCCTCCGCTGCCGGTCGCTGTTCTGCGCAGTCGGAAGTTTTGGGTGCCTGTTGAGTGGCGAGTGTGGGCGGAAAACGGACACCGTTTCCATTCGGTGCAAGGAGAATCTAAAGGGTGTGAGAATCGCCGCCGCACTGTTTGAATAAGGCGCCGGAATCGGACGTTTACAAGTTACGCAGACGAACGGAAAACTGCGCGCAGCGTTTATTTTCGAACCAAGTTCAAGGATTCCGATGTCTGATCAAAGAATAGTCTGGTCCGAGAAGCTAAATGGGACGGAGCGGGGTGTGTTGTAACACAAACGTTCTCTAACTAGTCAGACTGACGTCCGTGAGCATTGATGCCCATAAACTTCGGGCTCTGTCCAACCAAAGAAAGACGCAAGCAAAATAGTATGGGACGGATGAAACCCTAAACATTTTTTGTCAGTTTAGGTCAATTGGCTCTGCCGTCAGGTCACATGGTACATACGATAAAGATAGTCGTCGCTGCTTAAATTCGATATAACTCGGTCTAGTTACAGTGTGCCTCATTACTAACCATGTTTTTAGCCATTTCCGTGAACCACTCGGTTCTTATTCGTGGCCGCTATACCAAAGCTCCTTTTTTAAGCCACGCCCCCGCCCGAGGTGCAATTTTTTATTCGTAACTCCTCGAACCACTCGTTTTTTGTCTCCTGTTTCTATCTCAGTTCCCGCCTTACGATCCACGCCCCTGTTAGCCCACTTCACCACCCCTCCCCCACTGAGCGGCGGCCCTGACGGGACGCGGGTCGGTTTTTGTGGTGCCGTTGGCCGGGTTGTTGTGTCGCGCAGGTGCTGAGAGTGGGAGGGTGCCGGCGGATCTCTGACCTGGAGATGAACCAGGACAGAGCCGCTGGCATCCGGAGGCTGGTGAGAGCCAAACCCTGCTACCCAGAGGCGCGTGGGCCAGGGGCCGACCCACAGAGTTTGAAACGCGGCGGGTGGGGCGAGCAATGCAATGCATTTTCATTGCCCATTGTTTGTTTTCTTTACTATGAAGCTACGAGTGAAGTGTGTAAATGAAGGTAAGCTCACTGAATAACCACTGAGTAGAAGATCTCTGAATAGATATAAGAGTATGTAAGTAGTGTCGTTTGAAACCATATGCTCCAGAACAAACATCTGTGGAAAGCCGACCGCAATGTTTTCGATGATCCTTGTCGCAGTCCAATTAATTGCATTTTTAGGTTTTCTATGCATTGCTAAGTGTCCGAGTTATTTAGAACTGAAATTGAATGCTTGTTGCCCCCCCCCCCCCCCTCCGGCCCGTTTGTTCGGAGTCGGTTCAGAGTGGTGCCCGATATTTGTTTTGATTGATGGATGTGCGCTTGTTAGGTTCAGGATGTACGAATAGGTTTGCTGATATGTGCTTATAAGCAGAGCGTGAACAAAGACCACTTTGTTTGCTGTAGTCTCTTCCGATTTCTTTTGAGACAAACTGTCAAACAGTCGAGGTTTTTGGGACTTTCGTCGTATATTTCCATTCATTCGAGTCACAATTAACCATGAATCAATCAGCATATATTTAATTGCACACATTCAGCAACAGAACACACCCCTCGCTTCACCAATTACGCATATTCGCTACACAACTGATGAGACATTGAGCACAATTTGGACCGTGACGCATGGAATCACTTCAGGCAGGAGAGCACGCTGCCGCCGGCGCAGTGGTCGACGGCGTGCAGATAGTCGAGCAGCTCCTCCACGCAGGTCTCCTCGGTCTTACTGCGGCTGCTGACACGCTCCTCGCACTGTTCGAACTTGGCGCGCAGCTGGGGCGCCTCGCCGCTGGTGCGGCACTGCTCGCGGATCGTCTGGTGAGGGTCCACCAGCTCCTCCTCCTCCTCTTCCTCCGGCGCGTCCTCGTGGTTCCGCAGGTCGTCGTTGAGCCCCATGGTTCCTCTTCTTTTCTACAGGCACACGCCGCAATAGGCGATGGTGAGATGTGATGATGAGAAGAAATGACGGCATGCTTGACGTGAGAACAATGCTTGACGGCAAAAAAAAAAACGCGCGGTGAAATAGATGTAATGTCCATGAAAATCAGAAAACCAAATAGTTCACACTTCGTATGAAATGCCACTTCTCGGAATATCCGTCTACCCAGTCTTTCTTCAACCTCTCATCAGTAATAGAATGAAGCCATCTCATCTGAAATACCTGATTACGTAATCTACCGCGGCAGTTAAAGGGACCCTCCCACCTTCAAAAAAGTTAATGAATTGGCATGAAAGTGATGTCGCTCGGTTCAGAAAGAGCAAAAATGAATATCTACCAAATTTCATCGAAAAATATTCACCGGTTTTCAAGATATTAGACTTTTACTTTTGTTTACTTTTTGGGATCTCCGCTGTTCCTAGCGACTTTATTTGAAAGTGCGGCATTTGTTGCGCGCAAAGCAGCATATACCACCGCGTGCTGCCAAACGTTTTAGTAAAAGATTTAAAAATCGTTAGATCTCCGCTGACGTCACAAATTCTAAGGGGGCATACCAATGCATTAGCCCCTTAGAATCCGAAAACTGCAAGTTTGAAATTCCATATCTCCGAATTAAAGCATTTTTCGATGTTGTGAATGCCCAAACCGGTATTTTCAGGCCATGGCCACCATTTTGGCTATCTCAACTCAAAACTAATGTTAAGGTGGGAGGGTCCCTTTAACAGCGACCGACTTCTCGTCTAACATGTCCAAGGCCAACTCTGGCTTACCCAACGTCAAAAATAGAATCACGTCCCGCCCGATACAGTACGTGCCACGTGTGGTTTTCTTTGAAAGCCCTGGGTCGCTTAGCGTCTGAGCCTACGACACGAGGCATCGATTTAGATTTGAGCATACACGAATCAGACGAAACTGGTCTCTGATCGTTACTGATTGCCTCAGTATCAATATTAATAGGTTAACAGAATTTGGCACGGAAAAGGTGTGCAAGCTGTTCAAAGCTTACAATGGGGTCTAATTGCCGAAATTAAGATAAACTATCAGCAAACTGCTCATTTTGATTCGGTCCTGTATTTTATATGTGCATTCGTATTCACAATTAATGGGTGGCGCTTCTATGGTCTGGTTTTGCAGTTGGATCGTCACGAACTTTTTGAAATTTCAAACAGGCATACAACTTCGCCGCTGCGACGATTCACAAGTGACGTGAAGCATCAAAGTGATTCTGTGAACTCGGCGAATCTTTCGTTCTTTGTTTCGAATATTTCGTTTTGAACTTTTGAAGCCATCACATGTTCAACGCCAGGCACCAGCATTATGTGATCAATTAAAGATGCTGTTATTTGAAGGCGTGGTCTTCCAGATGAAATTTGAAAATGTGCCAGATTGTGAAGTTGGATAGATACCAAAACTGCTTCCGACACCGACAAGCGTTAGAAATCGCACGATGTTATTTCGGGCGCATTGTATCGGGAGCGGTAGCTGTGCATTTTCCCATAATTTAACCGCATTCCAACAAACAGGTGTCAATTAATGTGTTGGACGCTGAGCTATGCTTAACCCTCGCACGACCAGGCCATTTCTCATAACACGAACGACCAGGGGGGGGGGGGTTGTTACGACCCCCCCCTGGCGTTTCGAAACGGAAGGTCGTAGAGCTTAGCGGAAAAAACCAACGGATTGCTCTCAACGAGATCTCGCGATTGGTGGTATATTTTTTGGTCCTAGGTCAACATTTGACCTACTTTTGGCCGGTCAAAGGTCAAATTTTCGGAAAAATAGACTTTTTTCAACTTTAGGCGGCGATTGCGGCAAAACGGTAGGAGATATCGACTTGAAACCTTCACTATCGTGTTCCTTGATCAATTGTCTATCGTTTGGTATGTATTTCGTTTCCCTAGCTCTAAAAATGGCGCGTTGGGAGCGCCGGAAGTCGGCAAGGTCACAGTCGGCGGCAGAAATTCGAAAAATCAAAATTTAAATTTTTGAATACTGATTGTATTTTTGGATTTGGGAGGTCCATTTGCTCCCTATAGAAGCTAATATTGCTGCATATTCCCATTGAGGTGACAAGAATTAGCAAAATAGTGGTTCGGGCGCTTTTCAAAAATAGTACCGGACGCTGTTCCTCTTGTGACGTCATAGCTCCGTGACCTGACCTGACCCGGTCAAATTTCTTATACCATATGATAGCCAATACTTGCCCCAACATGCATGGGAAGTTTCATTACGATCCATCAACCGATGTCCGTACCACCGGCAGGAAACCTCGGGCGTTGGCACTCAGTTTGTGAAAATCCGGCCGGAGGCTGTACCACTTATGACGTCATAACTCCGTGACCTGACATGACCCGATCAATTTTTTTTCGGCAAAAGATGCGCAAAGGTTGCCCCAGAGGGTATTGAAAATTTCAGCCCGCTACGACAAGCCGTTTAGCGTGCACTTCGAAAAAACCTCAGGGGGGGTTGATACAACCCCCCCCCCCCTAGGCGTTCTAGGGTTAATCTGTCTAAATACCATTTTCTTTTACGCAGACAATGCATATTAACATGTTGTTTTAATACGTTGCCCGGAATGCGTTTTTCAGTGCGTTTTCTATAAACTCATGGAATGCGTGTCCATCTTACTAGCGCGGTCAACCCAAAGGAACTGTTATATAATCTAAGCTGAAATCACTGTGCAGGTTTATTGCATAAACATGCCTTTTTTGATGATCCTCGAGTTATTCTGGTTGCACCGGACTAATATCAGGACATTCGATCTGACTGCGTTTGTATATTTAACCAAGCCCATTGGATCTTCCATACTCCACGCATTTTCGCTGCGTCAGGGGGCGAAGGACTTGGTTAGGTCCCAAGACCCAAATGCCATTTTTCGTCGGGACCGAGGCAGCCACACCCCGTCCCGCCCCTCGTGCCCGGTTTGGCCGCGCGGCACCTTACCTGCTGGCTGTGTCCGGCGGTGTCGCGTCGCTCCGCCGCGCCGTCCGTCTCCTGCTGCCGTCACCGGTCGCACGGTCCGCACCGTCACCGCCGTCACACGGTCCGCCCGAGCCGCCGCCCCGAGCCGCCCGAGCCGCCGCCCGCGCCGGTCACGTGGTCTCGCAGCCGGTCGGCGCGCTCCGACCAATCACCGCCCGAGCCATGGACGCCCCGAGGGCAAAAATAGCGCCCCGGGCGCGGCGGCCGGCCGGTGGCGGCGGCGGCGCCCGGCCGGTGGCGGTCGGTGGTAACAGGATCCGCTCTGATGGCTGCCATATATGACTCGGCTCCCCGGGCGGCGGCCGGCCGGCGCCGCCGCGCGCTGACCTCAGGTCAGGTCAGTCAGTGGGTGAGGTCACTGAGAGGTCCCGTGTGGGCCCCCGTCCGGTCCAGCTCCAGGCTCAGGGGCTGGATTACCAAGATAAACAACGGGAGGGTATCACAAACAGCTCAGGTACTGCCGCACCAGCTGCAGGCGATTATCCGATAGTCAGAACAACGATACGGCGTAGCGGTGCATTACATTGCCACTTGAGCACTTTTCAAAACACATCATTTATTCCAGGCCCCGTTTGAGAACCGCTGGCGGCTCTATTATTGTGATGAATGCTCAGCCCAAACTGTGACCGTCAGCCAAGTCCGCGTCACGTCCCCCTGCCAGCAGCGGTCGGTATGATCGGCCGTTGGGCGTGTCCCGTCCCTGTGGCGGACATCACACCCTATTCCGCCGTCATCCCGGGACGCGTCAGCGCCGCCCCCGCCGTCCCGATGGCGGCGCCGGCTCTCCGGGCGGGGGCGGGGGCGGGGGCGGCGCGATACACGCCGCCTCCGGCCGTGTACCTTGGCTGGCGGCCGCTGCCGACTCTGACCCCGCCGCCCACTGAAGGGCAAGGGTAGCCGCTGGAGGCGCGATCGACAGGTCGGCCGAGCGGATACACGGGGACGGATACACCTTGGGATACACGGCCGATCAGCCGTGTTGGACAGCGGCACCCCACAGGTGACAGCGGGGCGGTGTGGACCGAGTTGAGGGCGCCGTTATGCCGGAAATAGAGCGGGGAGAGAGCGCCACAGTGCGATCTCCGCTGCGTGTAAAAGCGGCCCGCGATAAAAAGTGCAGATGGTCGTCTGTGGCCGCACGTGGGTGGTGCAGGCTGACATTCAGTCGGTCCGCCCACAGCGGGGTGCGAACAAGTGGCGCACTTCTCTGTTTGTAACGCAACTCTGCGCTTTATAAAATGGCTAGTCTCCATGGAAAATATTGGCCTGTGGTTAAAATGACGCTTTTTCCTTGATTTTACAGTTAACTCCTAAGGTGATATTAGCCATGCTTCCTTCAATCTTGGCCGAATGAATAAAGCCTTCTCATTTTGTTTTTGTTTTAGGCATTCGTTGTTGAATGCATTAAAGTGACGTTGTTTGGTTCATCTAATGCTATTTTTGAACAACTATGAATATCTACCTACAGTTGTTTAAGGTTTAACTCATTTATTAAAGTACAAATAAACCAACTGCAGTCAAATTGACTGCGACTCTGCCTAGACATTATATTATTCTGTCAGACTCATGAACAAATTAACGAAATACGAAGAAACGGTACGTTCATTACATCCTTGTCATCGACTAAGCATCGGTGCGAGGTGACGATGTGTTAGCCATCTCACTTTCGCACATGGCCTAACTATCTGTACTTCACCTGGGTAGGTAATTAAAATTGCTCGTCTACGAAGCGGGCGGGTTCCACTAACATGTCGTCGGACTGGCGTGCTGTAACCGCTACAGAACTAGCAAGTAGCAGCTCTTCCGGGCCCCGGTGTGATTCATTCACCCTTATTGTGCGATGTATTGATTAATCACGCGTGCTTGATATCTTACCGTAGTGAAATTTGTTGTTACCATACATCGTTTATATCATATGCAGCTCATTCAGAAAGCTCCATACTTGTTTGTAAAAGTGCGGGTCAGCGGTGACCTATCAGAGAGCCGGCCGGCCGCCGCTCGGCCAATGAGGGCGCCGCTTATTCTGACCAATCAGAGCTCGCCCCTGTCGGCCGACCTCGGGTCGCGGCGCAGTGGTGGAACCGCGATGTGCGCTGGGCTTGTAGCGGGGACGGCTGCAACTGAGCGGTGAGCTAAATGATGGCACTGTTTGTGATACGATGCTGTTATCAAGCGTGGTGGTTAGAAGTGTGGTATTATACTGTGTCGTGTTTAGACCGTGGTGATGCTAGTCATATTTGTTTTTTCGCTAGGGTAGTCGACGTCTGCCTGTATACCGCTGACCTGCTGCGGCGCCTCCGGGCCGTTTGTGAGGCTGCGCCGTCCATCCCTTTGGGCTATATCGGGCGGTTGTGGTGACGCTGCTGTCGATAATCTCAGGTCGCGGGCGGGCCGGGTGACGTGGCCGTGGGTCGGCTACCAACTGCGGAGGAGCCGCGATCCCGGCCACACGGGCCCCCATCGGACCGGACGGCGACCCCTCCTCAACTCTGAGGCGCATGGACCTTCAGCACGCAGTGAGGTCAGCCCGCAAGGGGACAGATAGGTAAGAACATTGATCCAACCCACCCACCAGATTCGAATAGGAAGGCCTTTAAGTAACATTACGGTATCGCAATCCGTGAAACGAAGATGAATCTAAGAATAAATATTACGCAACGATAGCACAAATCGAAACCGTTACATTTTCATCTACAAGGGTGGCTTATACAAGAACACGGAGATTGACAGTAACAAAAGAAATGCATACCTGTTTGGTTACCAATGCTCGCCTATTTGGATAATGGATTTTACTTATTCACTTTTGGCGAGCGGCTCTTACTGATATTTTTACCGAGCAGTTAAATCGTGTCTGCTCGGTTATTTTCCCCGGCTGATTTGCGGAGGTCGAGGCGGATTTATCTGCTGGTGACGCCGATCGGGGAGTCGCCGGGTCCAGCGGAAATGTCCGCCTGGTGACGTCAGAGGTCACGTGACCCGGCAAAGGGGGCGACCTGGGGGCGGACGAACACCTGTACAATCGTCGAGCAGTGTGGACCCGGGGAGGGCATTAGTATGACTTTGATCGGGCAGGTCGACACTTCCTCCCTGGAGCCTCAGTGACGTACTTGGGGCGGTGAGGCAATGCCGTTTATACATCTGTTCGTTTTGGTTTGGTCCAGGCCACTGCTGAGGAATGCGGGCCCGTTTGGTGGCCTGCTGCCATTGAATATGGCCACCAGCCAGGGCGTGGGCTCGGTGGGCTCCATTAATATGACTTCTGTTGGTTATCACAGTCAGCCTGTGATTTTCCGGGCTTCGTTTATGGTTTGGGACCGGTGGGGCGGCACTTTCCGGCAGACAATTAGGCCCTCTGTTTGGGTGTGATTATGTTTATTTACCCGTGGGTGCTAATTAACGACTGGGGACGCGAGACGGTGGGAGGTCTCCGCGCGCGCTGAGGGCCGCTTTTCCTGGTGTAGTGTCATCCGCTGCATCCTCTGGTGTCGCGGTGAGTCCCCTCGACTGCGTGTTCGTGTTCCCGTGCCTCCGAGGCTGACCTGTCCCAGACCTGGGTCAGCAGTCGCCTGCACTGCCTGCGCCGCTGAGCCCGGCGGATACCGGGTACAGTGGTCGGCGGCGGCGGCCGGTGCGCCGGCTAATTTGGGAGGACTGCTCCCTACCAGAGTCGAGTGGGTGACACGCGGGTCCACTGTCCGCCCCCACTACCCTCCACCCGTCCCCATCCGCCGCGTTCACGCACGCTGAGGGCGAGGGTGGTCCGTCTGGATAGTGAAGCTGGCGGTCGGCCAGTCTCTGCCTCACTCATTTCTGACTGGCGGAAAGGCGGAGATCGTGCGGGCAGTGACCAGCTCCGTTTGGGCGTTGGCCGGTGGGTCTGCCACAACTCCACTGTGATGTCCATTATCTATTACTTTTAGGACCAGTGAGATTAGAACAGCCTATAAATTAATATCATTGAATGTAAATTAATAGATTTTTCTTTTTTCTGTAGGGGAGAGTGGGGTAAGATGCCCAGGGTGGGAAAGACGCCCCACCCCCTCTAGCGGGGAAACAAAGAATCGAACCTGGAAATTAATGTTCTTAGCGTAAAGCAGAAGCCTGCCTTGTTAACTGCACAAAAATTTGCGAAGCTCAGTTGGGCAACGGCTGGCTGGTGATTGCATGTTAAAAATTTGCTGCTTTCAAAAAATATTTTGGCGTCAAACATTGTAAATATCAAAGAAGGTAGATAATTTTTGCGTCCCTTGCTATAGTCGTGATACATTAACATGCGTGTACTGTGTCCCAAACAGTTTGTTTCAGAATGTAGTTTTATGGCTAACAAATTGTGCTGATTTAATGTTACTTCGGTACTTTGGGGTAAGATGCCCCCTGTCCTGATGGGGAAAGACGCCCCCCTAAATCCGTAGGCTGTCCTTCAAGCAGCCCGTCAAATCATTTATTACATACGTGTGATGAGAGACAAAAGCCGATTTGGGACTATTGAGAGTCCGGTACGGTCGGGTGCTCCCCATGCCGGTCTCTCGGCCCACACAGCGACTTTTTGGGCGGCATCTGACTCTGAGAGCCCTCACGACGGCCTCTGTGGGCCCCATTATTGGTTCCAGGGCCCCTCACGACATCCTTTGAGGGCTCCCACGTTGGCTCCACGGGCCGCGCTGGCATCTGAGGTCCCCACGATGGGCTCGAGGGCCCTCAAGCATCATGAAGACCTATAAGGGCCCCACAGTGGTTTCCGAACGCCACCACGGAGGCTTGTTTGGCCACGCTGGACTATGATGGCCCTAACGATGACCTCTGAAGCCCCTTACGACTACTTTTGAGGGCCCTTACGATGACATTTGGTGTCTACTGCAGACTCGAAGGGGCTACTGATTCGTTCAGGCGATTCACGTGCCTATTTATGTCACTTATAGTGCAGGGGGCATCTTACCCAACGCCAGGGGGCGTCTTTTCCACCCTGTGGGGTAAGATGCCCCCTTTCACTTCTTCAGGAAAATGTTTAATAGCAAAAAAAAGTTATCATATTTCAGGCACGAAAGTGCGATATTTTTGGAGAAAAATGATGTCGGCTTCCGTTGAAACTCCAAGTTTTGGCTTTCCGATCGTCATTTTCGAATAATATATGACATAGTCAAACCCTGGGCATCTTTCCCCACTCTCCCCTATCCGGCGGCTCCAGAGAGCGAAATAATCGCTCGGCAACGTCCGCCGCGATCCGTTACATAAAGCCGCCGTGACAGAACTCGTCTGTTTGGCGGCGGGAAGTCGGCCAGGCGGTGACGGGTACCGTGAGTCCGCGTCTGTCGCCGTGGCGGCTGACAGCGGCCGCGACCCGCCAGATGGCGACCTTGGCGGCCTCTCGGGGACGGCAGTGATGCTCAGGACGCTGTAGGTGGTTCAGTGCTACAGATGGATACTCGATTCTGTCTCGCCTAGGTAGCAGTGCTATACGGGATAATTTGCGCTGTTCATCTGGTGCGCAGTGCTGCAGACATATTGACGCTGTCTCTGGTGAGGTGGTAGGGCAGAGTTCAGGGCAATACTTACTCGGCATGGTCCTCCTAGGACAGGCTCTGTGCGGATGTCCTTCAAAGCTCTAATGCCGGTGTGAGCTCAGAGCTATCAGCCTAATTCGCATTTTGTCTGCTGCTCAGTCCTCGTCTGTCTGGTGAAACTCGCGGCCACTCACACTTGGACCTCGTTTATTTCGACACGTCTGTTGACACGGACACGGGCGGCGGCGGCGGCGTGCTCCTCTGATCTACCGGCTGCATCAGAAACGGAACCGCTCCTCTGCAGCCTATCGGCTGCACCAGTAACGGATCCGCTCCTCTGATCTACCGGCTGCATCAGAAACGGAACCGCTCCTCTGCAGTCTACCGGCCGCTCCAGTAACAGAACTCTCCACAGACGGCGCCAATTGAATCGATAAGCGTAATTTTTCCCGATCGACACAGCCATTCTGTCCACACAGACAAAGATGGAGCAAATTAGAACGTCGTCACGGCCGAGCCAACCTGATGACTGAACTCTGAAACCGAGACATACAGCCGCACATATCTCAACTGAACGCAGAGTTTTACACAACAGAAGACGAAGTAGAGGAATTCCATTCACCAGTTCCATCGTCAAAACCTGCGTAAAACCCGAACAATGATTTTGCATAGAACGTGTTCGATAATTCTTTTATCTTTTCATCAGTTTGCTATGGACTCACTGGTTGGCACTAATGCCGTAGCTGATAATTGTATTAAATTGTGATAAACCTCAAGAAAATAGTCAAGTTCGATAATTTTGAAGGAAGCGTAACGATTATTAGCTTAATTTTATGTTCGGGCTCAACGTAAAAATTGATTTTTGTAATGCTTGCTAACCAAAGTATGTGCTTGTCTCCATGACTTTTTTATCCAAAAAATTACAACTTAGGTAGACACGAATATTACTTTATTTCTGTTCTATCAAAAACAAAATCAAAACATCATTTGAACATCAGCGATTATAAACGGTACTCTATAGCCTATAACCTTGCGTCATTGAACGTTACTTGAACCGTCTGCCCGCTGTTTGGCGGAAACCTTCCTCCTATATAAATAGGTGAGCGCAGGTCACACCAGATACAACCGAGACTCTCCGGCGCGCAGCACAATGACCCGCCAGCGGCGCACCCTGTCCTGCACCCGTCACACATACGGCGGACCCTGTCTGACCGCGACACACGCCGCCCTCCCCGGGCCGTCCCTTCCCGCCCCCCGTCCCCCCGCACCCCTCCACCAGTACCCGTGATCCGCGGACGACGCGGAGCCAGTGCCGCCTCTGGAATGTCGGCGGTCCGTGCACACACACACGGAGCTTCAGCAGTGTGCCGTGCGGCCTCCCCGGGACGGCCTCCCAACCGCTCCGGGATGGCGGTCATCATTCCGGGACAATGGACATCATTCCGGGGCGGTGGGCACCATTCCGGAATGGTCGCCATCATTCCGGGACGGTGACCACCATTCCGGGACGGTGACCACCATTCCGGGACAATGGACATCATTCCGGGGCGGTGGACATCATTCCGGGGCGGTGGGCACCATTCCGGAATGGTCGCCACCATTCCGGGACGGTGGCCATCATTCCGTAACATTCGCCACCATTCCGGGACGGTGACCAGCGGGACGATGTCCATCATTCCGGTACGAGCGGTTCACAAGGCGGCACCACCCGATTCCCTTCTCTCTGGTCAGCTGTAATGGCGCCCCGCTGACTGCATATCCCTGCCTGTTGCATATCGCGTTAGATACATTGCTATACCGCGTTGTGCGCATCTTCAAGACGGACATTGAGTGGAGCATTTGGCAAAGATAGCATTGCGTTTTTCTTACTGCTGATTCAACGTCGAGGGGCACATTTTCGAACTAATGCCCTAGTATTGTCATTTCCTGAAATGCCATTTTGGTTGACCAAGGTATCGGATTTAGTAAAGACTTACAATTTGCTATTTTGATAATTATATAAACCACGAGAACATTCTAAGCACAGACGTGCGCGCTTTACAGATTTTTGAATGCTGAAAAAAAAAACTTGAAAACGCGTTGATATCAAAGCCAAATGCCCCAATATGAATTCACTGTTGCAAGCTTTAAACAGCGGTTTGCCCATTTGCCAAATTGAAAACGATGGTATCGAGAAACCTTGTAAAATTTGCAGCTGTTTGCATCAACAGGCGTTTCCCAGATAACTGCCGGGTTAAATACTTCATCAAAGCTAATAGCGCTAATTGATCCCTATTCGTAATACGCATAATACATTCAGAAGTGCAGAAAGTTCCAAACGTAACGCCACATGAAAGCTTACAACTCATCTGGACAAGAACTCCCCGATGCTAGGCGATGCGTTACAATCGTCTACTACATTCTCTGCTCTACCGTAGTCCATTTGCACGCATCAACAACGGAATAAATGCTCCAAAAGTGCAACACCACGTCCCATCACCACAGCACGCCGCTACCAAGTGCCTTTGAACTAGCCCGACTATAAAATGAACAGTTCATTGGCACTTGCTACACTTCTGACCGCTCCCCACGCAGCGGTGATCCGCGAGGTCAAACACTGGAGGAGTCTCTGGGCAGACCTCAGTATGGACTGGTTTCTAAGCTCGCCGCCGGCCACCGGGCCGTGCCGGCCCCCGGGCAGACCGTCCACACGGCAGCGGTCCGGCCGACGGACGGGTCCGGCCCGACAGTGCTGGAGACGGAAGCTAGAGCTACGAGTCGGCGGTTTGTCGGCGGCCGGCGGTCGACCGAGGTCCGGCCGGCCGCCGCCCGCCGACACCAGCGCCCCTAGCGGCCGCCGGCGGCGTCAGAGCCAGCCCTGCGACATCTGGCGTGTGATGGGCTGAATGCCGGGCAGGTTCGGGAACCGGCCGCCAGGCGGCACCATCAGCGGCTCGCGCGACGACGACGGCGCGACGCTGGCCTCCGGCGAGGCGGTGTGCGTGGCCAGCAGGCGCGGCGACGAGCCGGCCGACGCGCGAGACTCGATCGACGTCTGCCGCGTCGAGTCGTCGGCCGGGTGGTCGTCGATGAAGACGAACGAGTTTCGGCCGGGGCTGCCGGCGCGCGGCTCGTCGCCGCTGGCGGCGCTCGTGTTGAGGTCCAGCGTCAGAGAGGGGACTGGCCGGGGCTGTGGCACCTCGCGGCGCCGCAGGCTGCCGCCGCTGGCGTCGCTGTCGACGCTCTGCTGACGGCGGCTGCTGCGCCGCTCGCCGCTCGAGCTGCAGCTCGAGTCCTCGCTCCGGCTGCGCGTCAGCAGTTTGGCGACGCGCGCGTTTTTGGCGGCCTCGACCAGAGTCCCCCAGCGCCTCTTGCTCATCTCTCGTTTGGCCAGCCGCTGTTCGGCGACGCGGGCGAACCGAGAGAGTCGAAAGGCGGGGGACCGGGCGCCGGCCTCCCGCGCTGCCTCCAGCGAGCCGGCCGTCGGCAGCGCGGAAGGCGTCAGCGCAGAGGTAAAGGTCGCCGAGAGCGCGGACTCGCGGCGGCCCGCGGCGCCGGCGCCGCCGGCCGGCGGGTGCATTGAGCCCAGGTTGAATCCCTTCATCAGACGCCGCTCCTTCAAACGATTCTTTTTGCCGCCCGACCCTGCCGGGAAGGTTCGTTAGCTCGTTAGCTGTTAGCTGGTACGTTGTCTTCAAGTTCATTAGCCATTTTTGGTAAATTGAGCCCGTCCAGAGCTCATCTGATCAGCGTCGGTATCCCGAAAGCGAAACCCTTTCCGAACAGTGGTGGTTCTAAAAGCAATACGGACGCTCTCTGTCTCAGAATGTGGCGGTTTATGACGTGTTCGCACGTGGCTGTCAGTGCCTCACCTGTGCCCGGATTGGCCGACGAGGTGTTCATGCCCGAGTTGCGCAGGATCTCGACCAGCTCGCAGCGGAACGCCGAGATGTCCTGCTTGATCTCGTTGACGTCATCCTCCGTCACGCCCTGGTTGTCGGCCTTCCGCTGCTCGCGCGTCACGTAACGACGCACCAGGTTCCGCATGATTGTCTGCCGTCACACAGCGGCGTCACACAGCGCGTCAGACCGTCACATAATTGTTCGAGGCGATACGACTGGACTGCGCCGCGTTCGGAAAGGTCCGTTTTAGTTGAAGCCCGATTATATCAAGTCTAAACGCTGTTTTTGGTTAAAAATGACTGGGCACAAAGCCATTGATAAAACATAATTATTGACGGAATTTTTAGTTCAAGAGCTTATTTTGAGCTTATTGACTCTGATTAAAGACTGATTTGATCGAAGGTCTATGGGCTACGACTTTTTCTATAAGAATCTACTTTTGATGATGACGGTTTTCACTGTCCACAACACTGGCTCCTTTTGTGTTAGAAATAGGATCTTGTTATGCAAATGTTTGAAAATGTGTTTGTCTATTGTGTTAAAAAGGCACCAAAAGACTGCACTCCATTGCACACATAGTTGAACCACGGCACGCTTCGGCTTAAATTAAACCCAAAATAAAATAAGAATAATGTACATGAATAGACCATAAACAAAGTAAAAGCAGCGCGTTTACAAATAAGCGTGCAGTAATATGGTGGCTCGAGACGGGTGTCTTGTGGGCCGTGGCATAAAAGACTAAAATTTTCATATATAAAAAAAAAACATTGGCCCCTTAACCCTCGCCCGCACATGGGGGGGGGGGGTGGTTGCCACCGCCCCCAGGTAGTCTTTCTGCTCTGCACTCAACATTTTTAAAGCTAGAAAGCTGATTTTTTCGTATAGCTGCTCCTCTATCCTTTCTTGATGTCCACTGAAAATTTCAAGTTTCTGTGATTTTTGGTTTCGGAGATATGACCTTGGTTTTCAGGTCATGTCATGACCCAAATGGCCAATTCTCAACATCTTGCGCAGGCTATGGGCCTTGTGAGCTTTTGACACCTTGATTTCGGCCTTTTTTGCCAGTCTTACCTCCCAACTATCATGGAACATGTTGTTCGACGATGTACAGATGTCAAGGTCAAGGTCAAGGTCAACCTAGTTCATCTAAGATAATTACGTTTTAGGCAAGCGGAAATTACTTTTTGTGAAGTTTTTTTTGACTGGATTTTTGGTAAGAGCTTCTCAGATCATGATTTCATGTAATATGGACACAAAAACATTCGGTGCACACATCAGTATACACACAGACACACACAGACATACAAACACATATAATTGACCTTGACCTAACTTGACCTGACATGACCTCGGCAGCAAAAATCTGGTCGGTTAGTGTGACAAAGAGGTTCTAGCTGGCTTGGCACCAGAAAACAGCATCGTCATCGGTAGGGGAGACCCGGGAGGTATGGGCCGGTTTTGTGAAAAGGCAATTTTCTTCCAGTGGGCAGTGGCTAGACCCGGTTTTTCACTCTGTGTACGTGAAATTGCCTTTGGCCTGCAACGTGCGCCTGATATTAGGCATCTGGGATTAACTATTTTGTCTCGAAATAACTTTCAATAAATCATGTGCTTTTTCGATCCATCAAAATACACCGGGAGGTATGGGCCATGGCCCGGGAGGTATGGGCTGGTGCCATGTTTCATATTCTTTTCTCGACAATGAGAATAATACTCGAAGCTGGTATCTACCTTGATCTCTCTTAGAGCCTAGGAACCGCATAAGTGGCCAACAGCTTGCTTCATGGATGTCACTTGGGCCCATATGTATTTTGGTAAACTCAATCATGCACCATGAAATAAGATCAATAATATTTTTCTGTTCGAATGAAATTTGAAGTTAAATTTCCGACCTTGCGCGACAAAAATAAAACTTATTGACGGGGACATTCAATGAAAGCATCTTTTTATTTATTTAGGATCACCGAGGGTGGGTGGCCCATACCTCCCGGCTAGGACGACATAATGTGCGTAGCATCTCAGCTCATAATCTTGCAAGAAAGCTTCAAATTGTCTATCCAGCCTTAACTTGCATGCTTTAAACTTTATGTTAGCGATGGTCTGACATCATAAAACGAGCCTAGCTCAAATTTATCACGAATTTTCTGTATGTACCGTATTTTACTCGAAGAGGGCAAAAACGCTTTATCACCGCTCATTGCCAAACAAGACAGAGGAAGGTTTTGAAAATCACGTGGTGGGATGTATAACGGAATGGCTGCTACCAGTTAACGTCGTCAAATGTGTAAAAATACGCAAGACTTCTTCAAAACTGCGATGGCCCATACCTCCAGGGGGCCCATACCTCCCGGGTCTCCCCTATATGGTAAGCAGCGCACTTGATATCCAACGGTGACCCAAAACAGCAACATTTTTTAGTTTGACCTGACCTGGAAGGTCAATGACTGACCTGAGAAGGTAAAACTGGGTATCATTGGATTCGTTTCTTCCCAAAGAATCTTTTTGGTCTTTACCGCTCAGCTCTATCTCCAACAGGAACGAAATGGCGCGGGGGGTGGCAACCCTCCCCCCCCCCATGTGCGTTCTAGGATGGGAAAATGGCATGTGCGGGCGAGGGTTAACTTTATTTTGTGACCTTACGTTCCGGTCATCTGTGGGTCATTTATTAACTATCCTTATTTGCCCATTCGTTTCTTTTTTGTTTAGTTCCCATAAATGTCTGTGTACCGGGTGATCATTTGGGAATGAGATAAAGTAAGTGGCACGTGCAGATGTGTATTCAATAGCACACCAGACAAAAGACACGTCATTAGACTCGTCATCGTGGGACATTTTGTATTGCACACTATTATACACCTGCAAGCCACTGTTCATCTACAGCAGGTGCTCAAAGACCCCCTTCTGAGCGGCACAGCTCAGCCCGACGGCGTGTGTGACGCGCCATCTTTCGCAGCTGCTCTTCGTCCATGTTGCGGGCGAAGGCCTCAACCAGTTCCTTCAGCTGTTCCAGCGTTTGGGGCTCGCTGCGCACGATCTGAGCCGTCACCAATGACCAGAAACAAAAGTCCAGACAAGACAGGTCGGGACTGTATGGCGGCCATCGGTGTTCACTGTTCCGGGAGATGACGCGGATGGCCAGGATGGACTCCTGTGAATTCTGGCTAACCCATGATGAGGAGTGGTTTGAGCGTGTACTCTGGAGTGACGAAAAGTGGTTTGTTCTGCATCCGTCTCCAAACAAGAAGAACACTGTGTGCTGGTCGCCAGAGAATCCGAACAAGCTCGTGCCATGCAAGAAGGCCCAGGGGCAGAAGGTGATGGCGTGGGTGGGCGTGGTGGATGGGAAGTGCCTGCCAGTTCACTGGTTCACTGGCTCCGTCAACAGCGACGCCTACCTGGAGATGCTGCAGACGGTGGTGTGGCCTGCGGTGAGGGCTCGGGCGACGCGCCACCAGTACTGGTTCCAGCAGGACGGCGCGCCGCCGCACGTCACTGCTCCCGTGATGGACTTCCTCCACTCGAAGTTCGGCGGCCGCCTCATCTCCCGGAACAGTGAACACCGATGGCCGCCGTACAGTCCCGACCTGTCTTGTCGGGACTTTTGTTTCTGGTCATTGGTGACGGCTCAGATCGTGCGCAGCGAGCCCCAAACGCTGGAACAGCTGAAGGAACTGGTTGAGGACTTCGCCCGCAACATGGACGAAGAGCAGCTGCGAAAGATGGCGCGTCACACACGCCGTCGGGCTGAGCTGTGCCGCTCAGAAGGGGTGGCCACTTTGAGCACCTGCTGTAGATGAACAGTGGCTTGCAGGTGTATAATAGTGTGCAGTACAAAATGTCCCACGATGACGAGTCTAATGACGTGTCTTTTGTCTGGTGTGCTATTGAATACACATCTGCACGTGCCACTTACTTTATCTCATTCCCAAATGATCACCCGGTATATAGCGCTTGTCGACGCCATCAATACCGCTAAGACATAGGGGAGAGTGGGGTATGATGCCCAGGGTGGGAAAGACGCCCCACCCCCTCTAGCGGCGAAACAAAGAATCGAACCAGGAAATTAATGTTCTTAGCGTAAAGCAGAAGCCTGCCTTTTTAACTGCACAAAAATTTGCGAAGCTTAGTTGGGCAACGGCTGGCTGGTGATTGCATGTTTTTCATTTGCTGCTTTCAAAAAATATTTTGGTGTCAAAACATTGTAAATATCAAAGAAGGTAGATAATGTTTGCGTCCCTTGCTATAGTCGTGGTACATTAACATGTGTGTACTGTGTCCCAAACAGTTTGTTTCAGAGTGTAGTTTTATGGCTAACAAATTGTACAGATTTAATGTTACTTCGGTACCTTGGGGTAAGATGCCCCCTGGCCCCTGTCCTGATGGGGAAAGACGCCCCCCTAAATCCGTAGGCTGTCCTTCAAGCAGCCCGTCAAATCATTTATTACATACTTGTGATGAGAGACAAAAGCCGATCTGGGACTATTGAGAGTCCAGTACGGTTGGGTGCTCCCCATGCCGGTCTCTTGGCCCACACAGCGACTTTTTGGGCGGCATTTGACTCTGAGAGCCCTCACGACGGCCTCTGTGGGCCCCATTATTGGCTCCAGGGCCCCTCACGACATCCTTTGAGGGCTCCCACGTTGGCTCCACGGGCCGCGCTGGCATCTGAGGTCCCCGCGATGGGCTCGAGGGCCCTCAAGCATCATGAAGACCTATAAGGGCCTCACAGTGGTCTCCGAACGCCACCACGGACGCTTGTTTGGCCGCGCTGGACTATGATGGCCCAAACTATGACCCCTGAAGCCCCTTACGACTACTTTTGAGGGCCCTTACGATGACGTTTGGTGTCTACTGCTGAATGGACTACTGATTCGTTCAGGCGATTCACGTGCCCATTTATGTCACTTATAGTGCAGGGGGGCATCTTCCCCAACGCCAGGGGGCGTCTTTCCCACCCTGTGGGGTAAGATGCCCCCTTTCACTTCTTCAGGAAAATGCTTAATAGCAAAAAAGTTATCATATTTCAGGCACGATATTGTGATATTTTTGGAGAAAAATGAAGTCGGCTTCCGTTGAAACTCCAAGTTTTTGCTTTCCGATCGTCATTTTCGAATAATATATGACATAGTAAAACCCTGGGCATCTTTCGCCACTCTCCCCTATGTTGTCTTTTTCAGGCTTTGTAAGACCGCTTGTCGTCACCTGTACGCGACTTAGCTAACAGAGGCTCATTGAAAGAATGTTTATCGTGTTGCTATGGTAGTGATCTGAATTTTGTACGGTATGTTGGGCAAAACAAACAGGTATGCCACAGAAAACAAGGGGCACACAAACGTAAGTACGAATAATTGACTGCCACCTAAAATTATAGAAAGACACGGCACCAAACGAAAGCCAGGCGGGTTGTACCGACAGGACCAGGACCATTCCTGCTTACCTGGTCATCGTCATGCTTTTTCGCCATGGGAGGGTAAACAATAGTAAACTTGTTAATGTTCAGTGCGCATATGACAAGCACTACAACATAAAATACATAAAGGGTAACTAAACAACACAGCTCTGCTGGACAGGGAAATAGGCACAACTCATTGTACCAATATTCGAATTCAGGGAGGCAGCCCGTGTGTTTGTATTGATTTTGTGCCCTAGTGTTGTTTAGGTATTGAAAATGTAAAAAATGGGTGCGATATGACAACAAAATAACCCATCTAAAAATTATGTAGATCTATAAATTATCAAATCAGTCAGATACTTAAAACAAGTCGATGAGAACGAACGATCACGATTCAAATCGAGTTTCCGTGTTTGCTTTCGAAAGATCTCCATTCTCTGGCAGATTGACTAAGGTTTCGGTCCGCGCGTCGCTGATTCTCGAAATTCCATCGACTTTTTCACCCGAAACTAAGGCAGCGCCTGTTTTGGTGGCACTGGCTGTGCCTGCACAAAGGTCCTGAATGGACCTCAGCTATGAGTGGAATCGCTTCTTTAGAGCATTGGAATGCGGTTTCGTCGTTCAGCGAATTTGCGGAGACTGAATTCTGGAAGGACAGGTTGAGGTCACTCAATACGATGAAAACGGACCCGAGTCGTGCATCTGGCTTTGTATTTTTCCCTAGCTGTGCTTGAGCATATATGTATGTAGTAAACCCACTGAGAACTTTGCAATGCTTGAGTTTCTACACATAATTAGAAGGCTTCATTCCTTACCTTTGTGAATTTTGGTACTTTTTTGTCAGTCCAAAACTTTTTGGCATTTTTAAATCAGCAAACTATTTCCTTCACTCAGGGTGACGGAAGTGACGTCCAAAACAAATAGGGTCCAAAACGTCTTATCCAGCAGGATGAGCTATCGCATCATATTGAGGCTTGAAGCGGCGCCGTTCATTATAAGTCGGTGCTACGAATGTAGGTAACTATAATCGTACGGATATTTTACAATGGATCATCTGCACTGATCGAGGTAAACTCAATGTAAACACATAGTATTCAGTTGCATGCTGTTCCGATCGATGCTCAATATCAACACCGCATGCGGGAGGCCTATAGAGGCAGACGTATGAAGTGCTATGTACTTTCAGACTGCTACATTTACATACACGCGCCTTAGTTCTGCTAAGGATTTCAGGATGTGGCATATGCACTACATTTCTGGCATGCAGTCTATGATTTTCCCCGCCCCAAGCCACGCTTTGACAGCGCCCGGCGTCATTTGACATTCATGGAGCTGAGGGGGCTCTATGAGCATCACTTATCGTGCCATGGCCATGCATCAGGGCTGTGACACGTATTGACCGACGCATCAGTAGGGGCACGTGGCACGGGGTCACGCCGCTGATCTCACGACCCCCGCAGAGCGCGGCGCCCCCGGCCGACAGGGCACGCGCCCGGCCGGCCGCCGGCAGCCGCAGAAAGATCGCATATTTGCCCTCGGAAAGGTCAGCTCCGGTTCCGATTCCAATACAAGTCGTGTTCGCCGGCCGACCAAACATGCCATTTCGCCCGATTTATGGTCATGAAACTCTCGGCCGATCGAGCCGGCCCAGTTGTAAAATACACTTATGTGATGCGCCCCAGTAAATCAGCCTAAGGCCTCTGAGCACGACGTTTTTGTGTCGCGTTTCGCCGCTTCGTCACCACCAGTTATAGGATAAGACAAAGCTTTTGGGGATATAAATCGGCCACTTTCATTTTAGCATTTGATTTGATAGTTCCGACCAACCATTTTAAGGGTTGTTTTAGCTTCAACATGAACGGCACACATTATATGCAATTTCAGCTTTATATTTGTTGTCGCAATGATCTCTGTATACAGCTCCTCTAATAATCCCCATGCGCTGATAAGACGCTTTTTACAGCTTAGAACTAATGACGTTCTACATAAATCACGAGTCATTAAATATGTACGCGCGGAAAAGATTTTACTGGACTTGCCTGTCGCAAGCTGATTTTTTGTGCAAGCGGCATACAATTTCTTTTTACTGCTCGTTGATTGATGATCATGTAAATGGCTCATCGTTAAATTTTGTTCGCCGAACTACACACTAAGGACCACTGTGCGCCGGCGCCGCTCGGCTCCATTGGCTCACCTGATACCGATGGTTCCTCTCGCTCGCCTGACGCACCTTGCGCTGTAACAGTGACGCGGGACACACAATTACAAGCGGCGGGAGTCGACCCCTGCCCAGCGGGACGGCGCGCGCGGCCGAGCGGGAGTGCCGGCGGGACCGAGCGGGACGGTGGGGGAGTGGGCTCGGCTCCAACCCCTCCCTCCCCGCCTATCATGTTGATGATCCCGCCGCGGGACGGCGGCTACGTGCCCTGCGAGCTCATGACCCCGTTCACGTCGAGCCGGCGGATAATATCGGATTAGCCCCGGCGGCCGCCGATTTAAAGGAATCCAATCATGGGTCGGCACCCCCGAGTGGCGTTTGTGGCAACTCGGGCGCGCTGTAAGCCGGCCTCGGGGACAGTTTTGACCTCCGCTCACAGAGCTGGGCCGAGGCCGTATCGGCCGCCGGAGATGAACTCCGTGTGAGCCAGTCGTGAGTCGGCAGTCGAGGGACAGTCGAGCCGAGCCAGGGCACAGACTCGGCGGTGAGGGACGGCCGAGCCACGACACACATGGCAGTGGTGGCCCGGTGTGTGCTGGGGATGGGATATTAGGGTGCCTAACGGCCGCGCTCTGTGCCGCTCGGGACCGGCGTCAAATCAGGCCAGTGCCGGCCGAGCGGCAGATTATTCCGGGCCGGGCCCGTGGAACGACGAGTTAGGCGGCGCCGCGCCCAGTAATTCTGCCTGATGATTAAGCTAAACTTGGCAAACAGCGGTGCACCCGCCCGGAACGGCACCAGACTCCAGTTCGGTGCAAAAGTTTACAGGCGCACAGACTGTGGTGACGAATTGGTTCAGCGGAAGTAGATCCTTCAAAGACCACGCATGGGTCTCGGGAAGGAAATCTTTAATTGACTTCGGTCGTGACTGCATTTGGTCTGTCTCAAACTTCCTAGAGTAGACCCGTTTCAAGCTTCCTTTGAAGTAGAAAAGGACTACTGTTGTTGAAATGTGGATCAGTGGCCGATTTCTGCACGGTATAGTTCGTGCTAAGCTACATCAGCACATTGAGATGGTGCATTCGATGTCTCGCGAGTGACAGCTTTTGCCGCACCTGAGTGAGGCTCTAGTGTCTCCGTGAACCACTGTCTCCAGTGGGACAGTTTCTGTGAGCCAGTGTCTCCAGTGAGACAGATCCCCTGAGCCCGTGTCTCCAGTGAGACAGCTCCCCTGAGCCCGCGTCTCCAGGCCGTCAGCGCGGTGTCCGCTGAACTCTGAACGTCGAGCTCCCTCCGCGGCTGTCTCTGAGCACACACACTCAGCTGGCCTGTATGGCCACTCGGCCGCCGACCAACGACAAATATTTAACGACGCCGTCCCCGGCCCTTGTTCGCCATTGTTCGCCAGGCCCAGTCAGATTCCGCCCCGCGTGTGGACCCACTCGAGTGTGGAATCACTGAATCATGCCGCTTTGCCGAGGCCATAACGCACAACGTGCGGCCATTGATATTTGATAAGGCCGCGATGCGGGACAGACATTGGATGGCGGCCTGAAAACGTGTCTGTTAGCAGCAACATCACTCGATATTCGAATATAATTCCTCTTAATCCCATGTAAGACACGCAGTTAATTTTTACTGCCTGTGAGTTTTTAACAAACCTTTGCGGTGTCCCCACTTCTCAGTGTTAAAAATCAGAGCGAGCGTTATGCAGACATTCACTCGTCAATACGCTTCTCCAGAAACTGGCTCTTATTCCCTGGGGACTGAGGACGTAGATGCGTCATATGTATGCAATGTTCCGGCTTAATTTATCGTCATTGGTCTCCGCGGATCTGGTATGGGGCCGCCGCTCCGCCCCCGGGTCGCAGCCTCGCTGTCCGGCCGCGGGGGCAGCCACGCTGGTGTTTGCCCTGTCCACCAAAGCCGCTGTTTGAACGCGGAAAAAACGTCGGCCCGGCCCGCGAGCGGAGTCGGCTTCGACGTCCCATGCACACTACTGATATCCTATTTCAAAATGTCGACTAATGCCAGCAAAGCCAAAAACCTAGCAGATATCTATGGAGTTACTAATGTCAAACTGGTCTAATCCCAGACTATGCTAGACAAAGTTGCTCGCAAAAGTCGATTCGTGATGCTACTGTTGCATTCAACACGCATTGTACCAGTGCCATACCATTAACCTATAAATGCTGAAAGCCGCCAATTAGGCCATGGTAGATAAATCTCGGGATCGGGACGGGCTTCTGTTGGATTATGATTGTTAATGGCTCGGCTAATGCATGGCCGGCTGGTGAGTGAGTTGTCACGATGCACACTGCGCCGCGCCGTATCACGATGCAGGCTGCAACCGTGATCGGCGGCAGCCGCAACAGCTCAGGCATGCCGCCCCCGCCCCCGCCCCCGCCCGCCGACCGCCGGGGCGGCCCGCGCTCACCACAAACACTCGCTCCTCCAGCATCGAGTTCTGAACAGACGGACACGGGACCGGCAAGCGCCACCGGTCAGCGAGCCGCTAACAGTGTCACAGCGGGCGGCACACGACTGGGCACACCGCGCCTCGATTCTAGGGTAAATGCTTTACTTTTCGTTACTGATTACGTTAGTGCAAATCGCAAAGGTCAAAAGTGATTTTCAGATGTGTCTGGTGAATGGTGATGATCTTGTAGTTCAATCATTCTCAGCTAATGCAAACACTAAGCTGCGTATCCCCTTTTATCGCACAGTTCCATCGGCTTCCCCACTCTGTCGGCCGTTACCCCACTTACCCGCACCGTCCTCATGTGCTCCTTGCGCGCGGCGTACGAGTGGCCGCAGCACTTGCGGACCATCCAGCGGAACATGTAGTAGACCGACTTGGGGGTGATGATGATGTTGAAGGGCGGCGGCACCGTACCGCCCTCCTCGAAATAGCTCATCCACAGCTTACTCCGGGCAAACTTCCACTCAGTGTCAGCGCGCTCCTGTGGGACGGGCCAGAGGTCACCGGTCATAGGTCAGAGGTCAAGTATCAAGGGTGAGGTGTTATGAGTCACATATAAAGGTCACAGTTCACTGGTCAGATGTCAAGGGCTTTGATTCTGGTCACCGGTCAGTTTTTAGAGGCCACGGGCTAGAGGTCGTGCGTCAGAGGTTACTTTGGAGTCATTCACCAATTCGGTTTACGGATGAAACGTTTTGGTCAAGCTCAAGTCGAAATGATGGACTGCAAGTAATATGTAATTAGGTTAACAGTTACTTATTAGCATTTTCAGTAGGTGGGGTACAATAGACATAACATTTTGAACACATCACTATGCAAAAATTACTTAGAGCTATTTTTAGGAGAGATACGATCCTACACAGCGCTGTTCAGCATAGCATTGATCCAAGCAACAGTGCATTGAAGTCCCTACTGAGCCCAATAACAGTCTGTATTGGAGTTTGGACGCAGGCCACAGAATACATCCCGGCTATTGGGAGCACCAGTGACGGAGACATCTCTAATTACAACGGAAAGGTTCACTGAGAATAATCTACATCTGCGGGCATCAACCATGACAGGCTACTATTCCGTGGGGAATGCTAACATCTCCGAATTGACGGCGGTTGCAGACGGTACAGATGCAGTCCTGACTAACTGTTGGGAAATGGAAGGGAATTCGAACGACACCAAGTACTGAGCTTATGCATGGGCCGCTCTACAGATTGCTGCTGGTCATGCTTTGCTAAAATCAAGTTTGTTAGAAATACATGAATACGATGAATGCGCAGTGAAATTGAGCATCACAAGGGCATAAATAGCAAATACAGGGCGCACTCAATGGCGTGACCCTGAACCAATGGTTGACCTCTGAATGGTCAAAGGACTATTTTGATGTGCAACCAGCGCTCTGATGACTCTGGAGCAAGGGATCGCGCCAGTCAGTGCGCCTATCCGTTTCCTATGTGTATGGCAGCAGCAGGCGCGCCCCGTTCCAGACAGTTAGCGGACAACAGAGAGGCACGGGGCCGGGGAGGGGGCGGAGGGGGACGTCGCTGCCGGAGTGAGCGGACGCAGAGCTGAGCTAATTAGCGGATGTGAGCTCTGTCGGACGTAGCTCATCCTTCACGGGCAACAAGACCATGGTGGCAGTCGTAATGTTTGGTAAGCTGGCATCTGTTTTTGGTGCGAGTTTCTACCGCTGTCGTGATAAATGCCAGCTATGCCGGCTCCTCCCGCCCTGCTGTGTCATGTTGTCGGCTGAGTAACACGGTGCCACCCCTGTTCTGGCAGCGACGTCCGCGCCCGTCCCTGTCCGGCGCCCGGCCGGCGACACCAGCACATGCACGGCTACCACGGACGCAAGCGGGGGTCGGTTCGGCGCCCTACCTCGATGCCACTACTTGAGCTTTTGGTCGCCCTCGTGCCCAGCGTGCTGGACGAGACCTAAAACGCAGGTGGGTCGATCACAGGGGGCAGTCGGGCGCCGCCCAGTGGTGTGGAGCGCCTGACACGGCTGACCTCGGCCCCAGACAGGGGGCTTCACTGGTTACACACACAGGGGAACCCAGGCGCCGGCGCTGTCCAGTTCTCAAACGAGACCGCTGCCTGCAGACGTGAACGATGTGGTTCTGTTCTACCTTGCAATTATGACATGGTTTTGTGCATAGGAATCGCTTCAGGCATCTTCAATGTTATCTTATCAAATTTTGAATTATGAAAACTTAACACGCGCAGTGGAAGGGTTGCGAGTACTACGCCCAGTGGAAGGGGGGGGGCGGATGTCGCCCCCCCCCTAAGATCTCAGCTCCCACTGGAGCTAGAAAGACGAAATTTGGAGGGTAGATGGGGGCCATGGGGAACTCTGTTGTGTGTGAATTTCATGACCCTAGGTCAATATCTTCAAGGTCAAATGAGGTCAAATGTGGTCAAATCTGCCATATTAGCGACTTTTTTGCGTTTACACGCCGATAACTCAAAAAGTTACCGGCCGATTTTTTAAAAACTTTCACTATACGAAAGAGCAAACATTTGTGAGTATGTATGGTGAATTTCTAGATAATCCAACAATGAATGTGGCAGTTAGAAGCCTGCTAAGGGTAAGATGTCGCCGGCTGAAGCGGCATCGGCCGACGCGGGAAACGCGGCAATCACAATTTTGTGTTTACACACTCATAACTCAAGTTGTTACCGGCCGATTCTCAAAATTCTTTGACCATATGATTGCCTGTACATTTCTCAGTCTTCTCACCGAATTTGACGCGAATCTAATATAATCAGCGGTAAGGAGCGCGATGTAAAGACGGAACCGTCCCGCCCCGGCACAGTCTACAATTCAGGCGGCGCGTAACGGCTAGCGCCGGCCGCCGCGCCGCCGCGCCGCCGCGGCGGCAGGATGTTTGACTTTACACCACTATTACTAGAAAAGTTGTGAACCGATTTTCTTACTTCTTGCACGAGAAGATCCGCAATTCAATTCTGGACAGGTAGCCGAAATTTCACATTGATATTATGCTTGCGGCGCGAGTTATTGGCGAAAAACAGGAGGGGTGGGCGAAATCCGCCCCCCCTTCCACTGCGCGTGTTAATCGTCAGGAACCAGACCGGCATAATTTGACCCATCAACAAATGGTAGACTCGTCCTCTTAAATCGAGTTCGGTTTAGCTAGTTATGTGCTGAGTCACTTAAGGATTTGCATTTCTTCTATCGGATAATGCCTAGATCAACTATACCTTTTTATTTAAAAAATTAATGGAAATATAAATCCTACTTCATAATCATCGTAGAAGTCAGCTAGCATGACGCTCATTTCAGTTGTGATAATGGTGTCATAGGCATAACGCATGAGGAAAGGATGATTTACATTTGAAAGATTTGCGTTGTAATGAAAAGTATGAACATGAAACATTTAGTACCTACCAACTTCTCCAAAGCTGAGAAGATTAAAGTTTTCTATTTTTCCGAATAAATTTCAATGTATTGTCATTATCGATTAAATTTTCGGTCATTACAACTTGTCATGTGGAAGTCATAGGCTTGTGTCTTTTATGTTGTGGATTAAAGACAGGCGAAGGCCGCAACATGCATTAGTTGATATTGTTTCCGCAGCAGGCTAGGTGCGTTTAGAACCACAATCTTCACATAACTCAAATAATCATTAAAACAGGTGGGCATTTTTTAGGTCGATGTGCAGGTACAGCTACACAAGATAGTTTGGTAACATCATGAAATGTCGATCTTAACAACAAAAGAAAGGAAAATATTACCGTACATGTACCACTGCAGGAAGTTCACTGATGCACTAAATGCATAGCAATGCATAAAGTCAAAATTGGCATACAGAGCTTAACAAATTGTTGAACGAACCAGTTATAATAGGAATGAAATGTATAAGCAAAAGAAAAAATATAGGCAATATTAGTGGTGTATTTACATGTTTGTTTACCTGTAAGAATACTAGCTACATTTGCGTATGCCGGCAGTTTAGCTAGGTACACAATTTTGTTTTTAAAAATGAAAAAAACGAAGTTTATTCTGGTGACTGGGAGTAGGTGCAAAGAGGCATGCACTATTGCAATAGGTGCCGAGTGTTGTATTCACATTGTTGATGGATGCTAGGTTTAATGGCATGCAAATTGCAACAGTAATGCCATCGTATGCTGTTGTGCCTTTCCATAATTTAGTATTTTTTCGTCGTGTTTAAAAGGCATATTTGCATGCTGGGACCTCCTCAGTGTTTGCCCTGTCATGATAAAATCTAGTGCATAAAATGTACCACAAGGACATTGCGACTCCAACAAATACTGCCTAGGCTGAATTCTTTTGTACATGGAAGTACTATATATGTACATTTCTTTTTCGGCTCACTTGTTTGCCAAGATGCTAGGTAAAAATTCGGGGACGATAAGCATTTCACGAGTACAATGCCGTCTAGCAAAGTCCGGTGGTTGGCTCAGTATTCACAGTGGGCTGTGGAGCTAAGAGGCCACTCGGGCGGCCGAGGGGACACCCCGGCCCCGCTCCGGGCACCAGGTCAGCCCGGATCACGATGCGCTCAAGGTGTGACTGGCCGCCCGAAGCGTACTTACTAGTTTTCCTTTGTACTGGGCGGAACGGCACACGGACATCATTGAGAGTGAAGTACACTCGCGTCAGGAGACGGTATGGGGATACAAAAAGGGTAAACTCAAACCCCTCTAATGTGAGATAACCTTTACTAGTATGGCTCATTGCATGTTTTATTCGTTACTTCCAAGCGCAGTTTGGAGAACGACCTCATTTAAACTTTCTTCTCTTCAAAGCACAATGGATTGCGCTAAAAATCATGTTTAATCTTTTAACCCTCTTCAGTACAGCGAAAATGTACGAAAAGAAAGCCCAAGGAGTATCCTTGGTCCTCCTGCAAAATGTGCCATGTGCTGGACATTGGACCATTTTGCACTGCCGGCGCGATGGCGTCTATTTAGCGTCATGATAGCTCTTTGAGCCGAGCTTCATTTTGCTCTGAAGACGGCCATAAGCGAAGTAGCGGCCGGTTCAGTTGGGCAAACCGACCGTGCACCCGCTAGCGGCGTGGAAAACGTGGTGTGATGCCGGCTTTAAGCCTGAGAGCTAGCGAGAAAGCGGTGTTGGGTGGGATCTGCACGCTTCTAACGGCGAGCTATTTATTGTGAGCTCTTGGATGTCAAGGAACTGCTTGAAAGTAAGACTTCGACTATTACTTAACACTGTTACAGTGCTCTAATGTATGCATGATACATTTTCATAAGGCTTTGTCATTTGTGATGTGTTTCAAGAGTGCAGCTACATGTGCTAGCGATTTCTCCATAACTGTATTTACGCAAATAATTTTCGTCATTAAAGGCCTGCGATGTATGCACGTACGTTTAAGCACTTATCAAATCGAACCACTTAATCAGACAGCAGTTTTGGGTATGGCTGTTATCACTGATGCTGCGCCGTATCGCCTCACGAACGGCTCATCAGCCGCCTCGTCAGTCAGTTATTGGCTCTCAGGGGGCGTTCAGCAGTACTGACAGCTGGGTGTGAGCAGTGTATCCGTAAGCCCTCTGGGACAGAAGCGGCCCGGTCGCTGGACGGGGGGTGACGCGCGGACAGCGGCGGTGCCGGGTCAGCCTGCTGCGGCTGTGTCCTCCCAGTGTGGCGCGGTGGTGTCTGTTCGTACCTCCGCTGGCAGTGGAACTAAGCTCGGTGCGGGTGAAGCGGTCGGTCCCGAGACCGATGTGAACGGGCTTCTCTGAGGTTCACACAACATGCTCCCTTAGTGAGCTATCACCTATAGGACGCCCTCCCAAACACACACATGTATAGGCCGCCTCTGGGAGCGGGGTTACAGAGGCTCACACGCACACTCGCACCCGGGGCGCTCGCGCCGGCCGCTCGCCAGAACACTTACCGAGATGAGCTGATAGGAATGGTTCATCATGGCGATGAAGAGGTTGAGCAGGATGGTGATGTTGATGGTCGAGTAGCAGCCGAACATGAGCATGCCCCAGAAGCGGGTGAACGTCTTCAGGCCGGCCAGCTCGAAGTTGTCCAGGTCGATGAGACCGAACACGGCCCAGAATAGGGTCTGCATGGTCTCAAATAAACTGCAGGGCGGGTGGTCATCGCGCGAGGATGAGCGGCGCACTTGGCAACGAAATCAGACCGCGAGACAGATGGACTGAGAATTTAGTGAGCACTTTACGGTTGACTACTCGAGCAATTAATCGAATTTATGAATTGATGTTTTCTAGATTCAATCCAAAAGGACATGTTACTTGACTTCATTGCATTTTATTTGTGAACATGGTCACTAGAGGCCTATACTATTCAATTGAAAATGTCACCGACAGCTTACTTTGAAAATCTTCTCCAAACAAAACAGGCGTCGGGGTCTTTTTCCTGTTTGACGCAGGTGCCTTGATCGCCGTGACATCGCAGGCTAAAGCACTTTTGTTTCTCCAGGTCGGCGTAGTACCATAACAACTGGTTCAATCCTGGAACAGACCGGCAGAGAGTTGAAGTGTAATAACACGTGATTTAAACCTCAAATAAAGTAGATGCGCCTGGCCACGGCGGTCATCGTCGGCAGGGACCAGCGCGCAGCGTGTGCCTGACTAGATAGACTGTGCCGCATGGCACTGGTGTGGAGCGGGACAGCCTAACTTCCAGGTGACAGACGGCTTCTGTGAGGCGCGGTGCGGCTTGATGCGCGTAGGGCTTGGTCGACTGTCGACATCAAATGTCTCGTAATAATTGTAGCATATCATCGTTGCTTTGATTTTCTCGAGTGCCTTATGTCTCGTAATCGGCAATAGATTTTGTGAAAAACGAGCATGCACGCTGCAAAATATACATGCCTGCGGGAATACGCTCATTTTTTCAAGTACTTCTCGGTTTTTCATCAGCTTCAGATATCATCTGCAGCAAACCAATATCTGCTGTAGATCCAGCCAGGAGCTATAAAGTATCTAATTGGATTTCCTGGGAAGATAAGACAAATTGGCGCCACCATTTATTGGAACAAACAGATCAACTGCTTAGTTAATGAATCCTGGCGTCCGCTCTAACCAGCGGCGCACCAAGGGCCAGTCAGCGCTGCCAGCATAAGGCGGGTTTGCATGTATTTTCTGGCGTAATAACATCAGCCCTGAGGAAACCTGATCAGGAAGCCTTGTCTAGCGGCATAACAACTCCTCGACAGGCGGGCGTACCCGACTCGAGCAGCGGCCCCGGTTGGGAGCTGCTGGTTTATTTGAAAATGCAATAAAGGGTACCTATCTGTGGTATAAAGTGAGTCGATCGATACCCATCAAAAGTTTGTGCTGTCAAAACACTTGCGGATAATTAGTTTCTAATGAGTCACTTAGCCCGTTAGCAATGCATGCAAACATCGTGTTCACCATTTACATATTGAATGGAAGGGAAGGGCATACAGTAAAGTAATTCTTAAAACAATGTTCGATAAAATGAGTTTGATGTTGACTTTTGAAGAATATGACTGCTGAAAAATCAAATATGTATACATGAACCTATGCATGAACAGATCATTATAGGGCTGAAAATGGTGTGCATTTTTCGGCGCTGAAATATCTGCGACACTAACGTAATGCTAACGATCTAAGTAAATGCTCTTAGAATTAACGCGCTCATTAGATTTGCATTTGAAATCATCTCATTACTTTTACCCCACGCTTGGCTCTTTTACGAGATCGCATAAGTCAGCCTTTGTAGCCATAGTCGGCGCTGCTGCCGGCGTTTAACCCGGGCCGATCACCCTCTATCGCACGCGCAGCCGAGTCCTGACTCACCGCAGGAAAAGGCGAACAGTGTCAGCATGAAGAGGAAGGCGAACTTGAGGATGTCTAGCACCATTCGCGACAGTGTGACCTGCAGCGGCCCCAGGTGCGGGTTTATGGAGAAAATGTACACCAGCTTCAGCGAGCTGAAACGGCGACAACGCGTGAATTAGTTATTGGGGAGCATCAAAATGGCACTGTTGTGGAACATCACTAACAATGCGTTGAATAAAACATCGAACAAGAACTGAGATGCATCAGTTATATGGTCATTACACTACCTATTAAAACATAAGCATAATTAGTCAAGTCATTTGAACTCCCCCCCCAAAAAAAGGGGTAATTGAATTAACGACATATATCCGCCGCAGCCCGTTGCCGGTCGCGCTCTGACCTGAAGATGTTGGCCGCCGCGAACAGTCCCTCGGCGATCAGCATCGGGTCCCAGGCGTCCCAGCACTCGCGAGGCATGTTCGCAGTGCCCGTGTTCTCCGCCAGCTCCTTCTGGACCTGAACGCGCCACCGGGACGCGTCAGACGGTGACACGCTTTGAATGTTACTAGCTCGCTCTACTAGTTATGCCTATTGTTATGTTTCTATGCGCGCAGCAATAATTAAAAAGAAAATGTTTGAAAAACTTCACTTATAGTTTGTACCTACATACGATGAGCGTAACACATAACTAAGGAGAAAATAATGTTGGTATTAGCAAATAAACGAAATTAACAGTTTGTTTGGGCATCTTTCATTATGCATGGATCAGCCCAGAGCTATGGCTCCCCGAGTGAAGATAACAAAATGAAATGCCTTCAGCCACAAAGAGGGATGCAGCCCGTCCACACAGCTGCCCCAGAGGCGGCGGCGGCGGCCGTACCTGGTTGTAGGCCACCAGCCGCAGCGCTATGGTGGCCACGTACAGCGCGTTGGTGACAAAGTCGATGACGTTCCACAGGTCGCTGACGTAGTCCTGCAGACCAATGTCCCACAGCTGCTTGATCTCGCTCCAGATGAGCCCTGCGCGGCGGACGGACCGAGTTTCAGCCGGCCGGCGGTCCGCCTCATAAGGCCAATTGTGGGACACGGGAGACGGCGGCACCGCGGCGCGGGCGGCGAGCGGCTCGGCAACAAGGGAACTGATCTCCGCCCGGGGGATATCCAGCCGCGGCTCATATGTCAGCGCGCGCTCTTCCTGAACCTTAGTGGGCTCGATATACGGACGCATAGGGACACGAGCACCACTCTGGAAATTTTGTGTTTTGATGTGGTGCTATGTTTTTGGAAGGGAAGTGTTCTTTTGATTGAAGACCATGCCAGTGAGGAACGATCCTTGACCACTGCTTTGAAGCTTTGTTTTGACAAGAAGGTTAGGACGCTCTTACTGGTGACTTGATGCATTTGCGGGAGGGGATGTTTTACCAGCGCAATATTTTATAACTATGAGATATCGTGCCCACTCCTCTCCATATTTAGCGGCACTGCCTGTGTCGCCACACTTTTTTCATCCACCAACAGCCAGTGGGACGCCGCACCCCAGTTCCGCCGTATATTTACCAGAACTAAGCCACTAGCTCCACAGCGCCCACAGACGCCCGCCATCGACCCAATGAGCTACCATTGCGGTCAAGGACAAATTGTCCTTGAGGATGGGACCCGAATCCAAATCGATTCGGGGTTCTTATTACGGGAACGGAAATGTATGTGACGCTGGTCGCTTCGAAGTTGAACAAAGGTCTGGAACCTGATAGTGTTCGTTCCATAAAAGACAGCGGCTTGGTGCGTGAGCTGTGTAAAAATCACAGACTAGGCTCCTTCCTGAGTACAGAATGCGACATTGCGTTTGATAATTACGCTGGTCTTAATTGAATCTGTAAAAATAGGCCACAAAATGCGTGGAAAATTACATGTCCTGAGAAGTGTTCGACTAAAATGCCTAATGGTAGTTACCACATGGTGAACTTCTGCAAACCTAATTCTTTGTCAGTACTCAATCTACCAGGCATACTACTCTACCAGGTTATGTCGGGCTTATTTATGCAAAATTCCCCAAATTTAAGCTCTCGATAAAGTCATGCAAAGTTATCATTTCAACGACCAGCCTATCTCACATGTGAACATCCGATAAAACAAATGTCCGCAATCGGTCTGGCCCCGTGTTCTATTGTCTGCCGCGGCTGCACTGTAGGCCGGCAGCCCGAAAAAGCGCTAGAAATTCCCCCAAACTGACTGTCCGCAATATGAACAAAATAGGTATCATTTAATCCCAAATTGATCAAAGAATACGATTCCGATGCCATTTTTGCCCTAAGGTCGAAATTGAGGTGGTCAGTTGTCACCAAACACAAGACTATTTAGACTCGCTAGTGGCCACCACATTTGCCGATTTTAATGCTAATCTTTAGTTGATATTTATTAGTTGACCAGTTGTCGTTTTGAACGCAATTTTCTGTCAGACTAGTTCAGGGCACTGTTGTTCACTGTCCCAACAACATTCTTACATATTGCATCGCTTTTCTGCAACATAAGCTAGCTTTTTGCAAGCAGCTGCAAGACCTAAATAAAAATCATATCTAAATTTTTAAATAGACTTTTAAAAAACGTTATTTCGAGCAGCTAAAAATAAACATCTTATACTAGCCGCTGATTACTCATCTTTCGTTCCATATAGGTACTTTGCTGCTTTTCCCTGCTACTTTTCGAGATATGCGCCAGTAAACCACATGATGTAGGGGCAATTGTCACCTCGCCGCTCTACTGAATGCCCGGCGCTCTTTATAGCGCTGGAAGTTGTGAAAAACTAAGGCTTATAATCTGAATAAAATATATGTCCCTGAGCTCAGAATTGATCAACGCACACAATGCTGTCAAAATTTTTGGGCCAAACTAAAAAAATCAGTCATTATTAACCCCCAAACACAAGTAAGTGATAATCAACAACAACTTGCTCTTAAGTTAGACTTTTTGAGAAATGTTATTTCGAGCCGCTAAAAATGACCGTGCCGTACAAACCACTAATCATCTTTCTGTCATGCCCTACTCGCAATTTTTGCTAATGCCTGCTACTCTTCGAGGTCACGTGACATCACCATTAAAAGTAAATGGGGAGATAAGGAAACTGTTGTTTTTGCGCATGGAATGATCTCAAACTATCTCAAGCACACGGAATCGTGATTTCATGCACTCCTTGCAAGATCCGATGCTTTACTTTTGCATTTTTGACCTTCCGTGACGTCATTTATGACGTCACTACGGTCATAGGAGTTTCTTGTCAATAACTCATGATCAAATTGAGCCAGCGACTCGGGAAAGCCACCAATGGACTCGGGAAGACCTCCCGAATCGAATGATATGCGACATGACCTCTTTCGACCAACTTCGTGACCTGAGGATGCTGACCTGACCTTGACCTGAGTTCAACACCTTAAGTTGACCTCACCCGAACAAAAAGTATACCATTCGACGCGCCTGAGCCAGGCAAACACGATGGTGCCAAAATCGCTGCTCTGCGACCATTTTATGCGAAATTATTTACCAAAAACCAAACCCTACCTTGGGCTTTTTGACCTCACCTCAGAGGTTACCGGTTGACATGGGACCTTGAAATCGGGTATCAATCGTTCCGTCTTGAAACGGCGCACACGCTTGTTTTTTCCGCGAGGCTCTAGCTCTATTAGGGGCGAAACGGCGAAAAGGGGTCGTACCAACCCTCCCCCCTCGGCCGGCCGAGGGGGTGGGGGGTCCGACAACAGGTCCGGCGAGGGTTAAGCAGCCCCACTTCGTTTTTAGCATGTTTGCTTGTCGCTGAGATCAACAACTCAATCACAAATAATTTCTAGCACTTTTCCGGGCCCCCGGCCCAGTGTGGGCTGGCCGAGTCGGTCCCGTACCATCCGTCTCTGCGGGCCGGGCCGGGCGGCAGATGCTGTGACGTCACTGGCCGGCGCCATCCATCGCCGCCGGGATCTAATCGCGCCGCCAACGCCGAAAATGAGCTCAAACCCAGCCGGTGCTAGATTCACTGCCTCCCGGGCCGACCCGGGCCTCCGACCGGCCGCGCCGGCTCGAGACGGAGCGGCCGCCCCTCCGCGAGAGCCCTGACATTTGCACTGACAGACGACATAGCGAGCTTCCGACGCCTGACGCCGCGGTAACCTCAGGATTGCCGAGCCTTGGCTTGTAATTTGTGCGGTCGGGTCTGATACCTACGTAGGTACGGATTAGGATGGGCTCCACGGTTGGCAGTGATGGTGCGAACTGAAATTGTTTTGACGACTCTGAGCGATCTGTGCCAGCTTATTGATCGTTCCCGCATCGCAGGTTCAGGGTCACGCAATGTGCCATGGATTCTGACTGAGGTCTGGAGTTTTCACAGTGTGTTGTGAGTTAAAGTAAGGAGACTTAAGGTTTGCGGCACAGAGACCGACATCAAAAGCTGGTTAGAAAAATAAAATTATTCATATATTTTCACAGCTAAATTTAAACTGAAAAAAAAAATTCACGACTCTGGAGACGTGATTTGAAAAAAGTAGCTAGAGCACGACTTATCATTCTGATGGTCTGTATGGATTGGATTTCCAAGCAAAACAGTTTGATGTGATGAATGAAAATTGTAGTGACCAGTGCTCTGCTCAGTCTGGTGACTCATGAGAGCCCTCAGCTGTTCAGTCCCGGATCTAACCGAACACTGGCCCGGCACGGCATCGATCAACAGGTGCTCATGGAGAGATCGATGGCGCCCTCCCGCCGCGGATAAGTGTACTTCTACTGCCGTTCTTCCTCCCTTACACTATCGAGTGTCGAACCCTTCTCTTCCCGGACGAGTGTGTCGAGGTTGGCCCTTACCTGCCACCCAGGCGAGGATGAGCCACTCGACCATGCTGGGCCGCGCGCCCCGCTTGGTAGTCACGTCGTTCTGATTGTGCGGCATACCGAACCAGTCCGAGACGACGGTCTCGATCCGCTGTGACGCCAGGATGAGCAACACTGCCGGGACGGGCAGGGACACCGGTCAGAGGGGCGGCAGAGTCCCGAGAGGAGACGGGCTAGAGCACTGGAGGACGAGACACTCTCAAAAGGCACTCAGTTGAGCACTTACTCACCGACTCCCGTTCCCCCTTGCGGCACTCACCGAGGAATGTCAGGTATGAGGCGGAGTGGCAGATGAACTTGATGAAGGGCCGCCGCATGGTGCGGCCCATCCGACTGTGCGGCGCGATGATGTAGCAGAACGAGAAGAAGGGGAAGAGCACGCCGATCCGGATCACCTCGATCATCTGCAGGAGCATGTTCTTGCGCCGGAAGCCGGGCAGGCCCTCGTACCAGATGGAGGCCAGCAGCTGCTGCACGTTCGGGTGGGCCACGAACTGCCGGGAGAGAGAGGAGCGGAGCGGGGGTAAATGAGCTGACGACCGCGGGTAGCAAATGGGTACCGGAAGATACTGTGCGATCAAGGGGGATATGCGTCTTCATTATTTTCTTTCCATTTCAGACTAGTGACGCACTTCCCAGACTAGCTGAGTTTATTAGCGATCAGGTTTATTCCAATATTGAGAGCATATACTCTTATAGCGCAATGGACATTTGATCTAATTTATTGACATAAGGCTGGGTTTCGATTGTACCATCTGACAAACCACTGATCTATTTTAGGTATATTTATTTTTAATTTTATATAAGTTGGTACGCAGTTTAAAAGGTCACGTCTTGACTGCGGCGCTACGAAGGTCCATCTATTTGATAATCTCTGAATGTCACGGTTCACACAGCCCTAATAGAACGATTTAGCGGAAGCGATGCAGCGAAATGACTCTTTGCTACACCCATAATGAAGCGCTGAATCAGCAGCAATCAATTTCAGCATACGTTTTTCTTGGTAATGTTCCAATAACGTTTCGTAAGCCTCGAAATCAGGCGACTCTTTTTATCTTTATTTTATATTACAACCGGCTGATTTCGGTGCAGCAGCCTGTAGATAACTGGTGCAGTGCGCTTCGTGGATGATGCGCGGCTGCCACCGGAGCCATGTTGGCAGCCGTACCGACCCATGTCACGGCGCCTTTTATTTGGAGACTCTGGACAAACGAACAGACCTTGGAACCAATATCAGTGTCATTTCAGTGCCTTGCACTCGATCGATGTTAGCGACTGCAGAAAACAGCGCACAATGAATACCCGTGTCGATTGTAGAAACTGTTGAAGTTCGGTGAAATGGAGCTAAGATTCCACAGTCCACACGTCCGAATACCTTCAGGTGTTTTCATTCGAGTGTGCTTTTGCATTTACACTGGCATGAGAAATTAATTCATCATCCTCCGTGGCATTTCGCTGCTGCGGCTCAGCTGCTCTACCACCACCATTCATCTCACACCCCATCGCTCATCCTTCGCTGGAGTATCGCTCCACGCAGCCCGATCGGACCGCGACGCCATTCGGCCGCGCTCACGCCGACTCGATTGGGTTTTCCGCGTAACCACGCACCAGCCAGCCGACCGGACTATGGCAGCTTCGGTCGACAGACGCCGCAGCTGTAAGAGTAGCCGACAAACGGACGGACGGACGGACGGACGGACGGACGGACGGACGGACGGGCGGACGGACGGACAGGCTCCGGCATACAGCGGATGAGCCGAGTGTAAGGACCGCAGCTGACGGCGCGCTCAGCGTCCGTTCGTTGGAGGCCAACAGAGAGGATTAGAAACGGAGTCTGGGGCACTGACACACGATGATGAAATGAGCAATCCAATTTGTACACATTAAATCAACTGTCACTTGGCGTGTCTTTCTACGCTATAGGTCCGCAACGTAGCAGTTTTGGTAAAGCGCTGTTTCTGCTTTGTGTGATATGTGTAGGCAATTCAAAGTTTTACGATATCAGCAACGCAATGAATGCAGTCACAGAGTCCCCGCGCGAAGTAGAGCGAAACTCTTTCAGTGACTCTCACCAATGTAAACAATGGCCGCATTCACAATTCGGGTGTGTTGTTTTTTCCGCCGACGATGCTGATCGATAGAGCTCTGAATAGTGCGGTCCCCAGGCGGGCTGGCGCGGCCGGGCGACCTCTCGGGACGGACACGGGCGGTGTGGCCCGTCTCACGCAGCGGGCAGTCTGTCCTCGGTCTCCGGCGCCGGGTTCTCATCTCCCGTCCACCGCTGATCCCGTTTTTCCGTTTCTCGCGCCGTCGCCCGCCAGTTTTTGCCGCCTCGCTGTCCAGCCGTCAGCTCGCCGACCGTCCGGCGTTTGTTATCCTCCTCCAGTTGTCACGCGTCTCCGTCTTCAGGCTTCCAGCTTCTCCAGTCCACCGCCACTGGTACTCAGCTGGCCATCGCTCGTCCTGGTCGCCTCTCTTTCTGTTGTCGATACAGAAACGCTCGCCTGCCGCCGGCCAGCCGTCATCCTCGGCTGTCCTTCTTCTTGGCCTCTCCCTTCTGTCCTGCAGTCAAATCTGTGATGTCTCCGCTGTCTCTGTCCACCTCTGTCCGCTGTTTATATCTACTGTCTGCCGCTGTCCGCTATCCGCTATCCACCTGTTGTCCGCTATCCGCTATCCGTCTGTTGTTCGCTATCCGCTATCTGCCACTGTCTCCACTTCCCGCTATCCACTGTCTTCTCTGGCTGACTGCTGCCCCCCCCCCCCTCACCCCCACGCTGTCCACCGTCATGGTTCGTCCGCTGCCAATATCTGTCACTGCCCGCCGACTGTCCCCGAGTTGTCTGCTGTCCCCACTGTCCGCTGTCTCTGGCGTCTCCAGAAGCGCTCGGCCTGTGTCGGCCCTGTTTGTAGTCCCGCCTGTCCGCCGGAAGGCGCGGTGTCGTGTTCCCCGCCCTGATTTTGTGCCGCCGGCCGCCGGCCGCGGGAGGGCCGGGCCGTAGGATGGCCGACAGCTCAGAGCTAGTGCCCTCCGCCGGCCGCGGGAGGGCTGAAGGGGGCTGAAGGCTCGAACCAGCGGGCCTCTGCTGGCTACGGGAGGACTGACGGGAGACGAGAGGCGGCTCAAAGCCAGCGGCGGACCTGCTCGAAAACGGGAAAGGCCGCGGTCCAGCCGGCTTCAGAGTGAATCCGTAACACCGACTTTGTACTGACTGGAATCTGAACTGGTGACGCGTGCCATTATGCCTACAGCTCATGGTGGCTTACCACTTTTCAGAAGCATTCAGTCATTGTGCTTTATTGTTTACTGGGGACATTTCATATTGCCGTCCCAGGCGCTCGCAAATCTGTCGGACAAATTGTTTCCACCACCGCAACTTGTCTGCCGGGATTTCAGCTGGCCGGACGTTATAATTCAAACGGGCTGTATTTCAAACGCGTCGTAATCCACGCGCCGTTTAAACGAGCGACGAAAAAGAGACTCTGTTTTGTGTGGAAACCAAGCGCAGTTTATTGCGGGACATAAAAGCCACATGCTTCCAACTGTGAGCAAACGAGATACGAGGCTTTTCCTGTCGAAGATGGCCACTGCCATTCTCTGCCATAGTTTTGTTTCGCTATATCAGTGACGGTTCAGCAATTCTTCCGAGTATTGAATGACACTGAGCTAGGTATTCCAGTTAGCTGTTAATAATTACATGTGACTTTAGCGTTTAATTTGAAGAATACTGGCCGTGATTACTGGGTAATGATACCGAATTAGGTATATGGGTATATGGTTTATAACCGAACCACTCATTTCACATGGTCATATCATTCAATCAATCCCCGGTCTGAGCCAATAAGTTTCAAATTAAACTGTCTCTGGCAATGACGCGCCCAGATTGCGGGTTAAGCAGAGTAAGTTTTCACTGAACCGTCTACTCACGAGGGCACCACACTTTGAACCTTGAACTATGGGCGGTCCGCCCTTGGCAGCAGCTGAAGCTGTTCCCAGGCCCCCATATGAATATCGGCCGGTGATTGATGAAAATCGTTAATGGTCCTATCGCTTCCTAGGCACCAAAAACTGGCTACTTAGTGGAAACTGGCGGCCTGGAATGTTCCGCTGCTCACGACGTAGCTACCGCCATGGGATGGCTTCACCAGCGCAAGTAACCGATGAGTGACAAAACCTCCAATATTACACAATAATATTTGCAGTTGGTAAATTGTTGCCATTTTCCAGATACACTATACGTTGGTCATTGGTGTGTGGCATTTTAACCATCTGCTCAAACTTCTGCTGTAGGCAGTCTGCGAGAGGGACTGTTTACAGGCTGAGCGTTGAAATCCGAGAAAGTCAACCTTGTATGCCCCTTGACGGGCATCTGGCCGTCACCTGAACGTTCCCACGAAATCGGCCAAGTGTGTTTCAGCTGTTAGCGGGCATAGGACGAGCAGAAATCTGAACTCTTCACAGAATCTCGAAATGGGGTCTTGTAATTCCTTTTGCCACCATTTCAAGATGCGCAGCACGTAATTAGTTGCTGAAAGCAAATTATGAGTCGTATGAGTCTTTTTCTTTCTCTCTCCCTCAGTCTTCCTGTATGCAGCTCCCATTTCGGACGCTCTCAGCTGACCTCAGCTGAGAGCGGCTGACCTCTCGACACGGTGGCCAGGTCCCGCGGCCCGCTCCTGGCCTCTCACTTCAGTCAGGTCCCGCGGCCCGCTCCTGACCGGACCACGCGCCGGTAAGGTTCCGCTCCTGGCCTCTCGACACGGTGGTCAGGTCCCGCGCCCCGCTCCTGACCGGACCACACGGCGGTCACGGTCGATGTGGACGCTCTCGACGAAATGTCAGCGGTCTGTGACCGCGCGGCGGAGCGGCCTCGGCGACCGCAACCGGCGGATTTCACGAGTTCGCTCCGTCCTCGAGTGCCCCGGGTACAGTTGGTCAAAAGCACGCTGTCATCGCCACTCGTATCTCGTGGTAGAGTAACTCATTCTGAGCACTCTGCTCTCGGTATTTGTAGGTGACTGGAATGATCATCAGCTTTGCTTCACAAACCGAGCACCGACTTCAATGTTGCAGAATCAGTTCAGTTTCGTGTGTATGAATTTGTTTTGTGTAACAATGCATGCTATTTGGATGTTTTTCACGCTAGTCTCATTCTTGGAACTACTTTTTGGCATTTTGAGGGAAGACTATTTATGGTTCTGGCTTTCACGTTGGCAATGCCGTCATTCTTTCTCCGAGTCAACGTTCATTTTACAGCGGCATCTCTGGGCTGGGACGGGACGTTTTCAGCGATACGGGACCGTGCTCCAGCCATACAAACAACTATGATGCACCGAGCTCAATGCCAAAGATGAACGACGCTGTCGGACCGCGAAACGCTGCCTCTTCACTAACAATGAAAATTGATAGGCAATCGACCCTGTAGTGCGTTACAAGGTGAGGTATAAATGAAAAATTGTTTGTGTGTGCTTTCAATTCAGATTTTATGAGTGACATGGAACAAACTTACTGTTGATTTTAATCAATAGATTTGTTTTACCTACCCGCAACATTTCCGATCTGACAGCTGTGCCGTTCGCGGTCACCCAGCCGGGCGCTCGGGGTGGCCGGGACAGTGACTGCTGATACCGCGGCCCGCTCTGCTGTCCGGCCCAGGTCAGCGTCCCACCACCCCCGGCGCGGGACGGACGGTGCGCCCATTTGGCCGCCCACTCGCCATTTGTCGCCGGCGCCCACTAATCTAGCACCGCCGGCGCCGGCGGCGGCATTCAATTGGCGGATCTCGCGGCGCGCGCGATCAATCGCGCCCATTGATTGAGTCGGCCTCCACTGTGTGTGGCCCACAGAGGGGGATACAATCGTGCCCGGCCGGCGCACAGTGTGGCCAAACACCAGTTTAGCGCGAATTTAATCCCAGCGCTGCTCGGATCCGTTGAAAATGGTTCCCTGGTTTCAAAATTGACACTTAAACCTACGTGAGACCTTCTACGATGTATTATAAATGCTTGCTCACATATTATGGCATAGTTCCGCCTCTAAAAGTAAGGAGAACTAGCTTACGACGGATGCTGTGCTTCCCAGGGCTGTGAAGTCGATGGAGTTACTCCGACTCCGACTACGGCTTTCAAAAGTCAATTTCAACTCTGACTCCGGGCAAAACTGTCGACTACGATCGACTCGGACTCTGACTCCGCAGCCATGGCAAGTCCACGCAGTCGATGGATTTTCGGTGACTCAGACTACGAGTCTTGGTCCGGATTCCAAAATCGATTCCGATTCCGACTCTGACTGGGGTCAGAACTGACCTTCATGTGATTAACCATCGCCCGTATTCGTGTTTTGCTAGCCGCGAACGTAGGTGGGTCAGGTCAGGTCAGGCCAACCAGTAGGCGTCCTGCCGGGTATTCATAATTGATAGGAGTGTCAACCGCCACTGACAGCTGCGTTGCATGCTACGAAGGCACCAAAACTTCTTCCTAAATGTTCAATTGGTTTTAAATTCGAAATCAGTCCCAAAACAAGCCTGGAAGCATGTAAAACTAAAAAAGGTGAACCGAGGTCATCATAGATAATAAGGTAAAAAGTGTACGAAATCAAAATGCTGATTAAGCAAAAGGCGCCATGAATCAAGTGCTAAGGCACTTTTGCGCCAATTGCATGTTCATCTTATTTTTATTTCTGTCCATTTATGTTTGTAATAAAATTCGTTGTGTGAAAAAAAAGGTCATTGAACTGACCTGACCTTCAAGTGACCTTGACACCGACCATAATGCATGGGAACAACATCATAATATCACATGTTTAGACGCTTTAAACCACGAAAAGACTGCAAACGCGCAGCTAATGCAAGCAAACATACGCCGAATCGCGATTCCGGCCAAACATGGTCTCGAGAAATAGGTCACAGGTCAAAGGTCATTGGGGTCAGGATCGTGAAATTGAAAGGGTAGGTGTAAAGTTGATAAACTCGAGGATACTGAAAGTTTCGTCGCGATCGGCCGCTTTTTACGCGAGCTTTTTGCGAAAAACCGAGAGGGGTCCGTTCAACCCCCACCCTCACCCCCTATATGGGCGAGGGTTGAAAAATTGCCAAGATTTATTCATTGGCGACCGTATTCTGCAATATTACAAGTCAGAAATACAGCGGTTGAGCCATCCACGTAACGTTACGGAGCCGCCGCCGCGCCCACCCTGTAGCCGGACCTCCCCGGGCGGGCCCAACCCGATACGTTCAAAGCTGAGCCAAAGACCGGGGGGCAGGTTGGGGCAGGGTTTCTTGAATGAAACATGTCCAGAAAAGTGTGGCGAATCTTCTCATGGTAGATTTGGCGTGGAGTTTTTTGGCCATTTTCTTATATCTCTACGTTTTTACGATGGACAGTGTTTTCAGGGGATGTCTGAAAAGGTAATTTTAAAATGAGCATAACTCATCGGTTAGTCCAAGGACACCTATAGAATTCGGGTATACTATCACATATAGGCTCAGTAGCCATATGCCATTCCATTTATTTCCAAACCTCTCCGACAATTACGCCAAAATGTGTGGTAAACGTGACGCGGATTTTCGACGATTTCAGCACAGCCGGGACCAGCATTGCGTATGTCCACTTTAGCTAGCTTTATGGACACCGAAAGGAAGACATTGAACCAAAGTATTGTGATATTGACATACTTTTGACAATTTCCTATCAACTGATAGGTATAAAAAGTCAAAATTCCAAAATTCGTTTTTTGATTAAATTCGCGCTAATCTGGCGTTTGGCCACACTGTGCGGCGGCCGATGGACCGGCCGCCGCCGCCGTCCTGATCCGAGAGGTGATGAAGGACCGCCAATGAATCCACGCGCTGCGATGTCGCCCAGCAATTACCGGCCCGTACCGACAGGAGATTAAGATACGGCCGAGGTGGATATTTGTTCGCCGGTGATTCGGGGATGTGGACGCAGCCCAAATGTGCTGATTGTGATCATCTGATTCATCGGTGTCGTTAAGAATGAACGCATGAATCGGAAATGAACGCATCTCCATACCGCCTGGCAGAGATGACACACGATCTACACCGTGATCTTCAGCAATGCCGAATCGATCTCATTAATTTGAGAGGCACTCATTTATCAGCGACTCTATAGTCTACAATGATAGGATGTCGCGAAGAGCAGAGGGCCGTTCTCACCTTTTTCTGTTTGTATTTGATGGCCAGCTTGAGCCGGCTGAGGTGCATCCGCTCGCCGTGCTCGAAGGCCGGCCCGGTGGGGTCGTGGTTCAGCAGCACCTCGAGCTCGTACGAGCTGCGCGTGTGGTCCAGCAGCGCCGTGGCAAAGTCCTGGCACCGCTTCCGCAGCTCCTGTCGACGACAGGTCACGTCAGGTCAGCATGGGTCGGAAAAGAAGGAAAGTGACCGTATGGTGTTATGCCTTTGACGTGTGGTAAATAATCCTTGATCGAAGATTGACATAAAATTGAAATGTCAAGTGATAGCCAGTGATGAAATTGTCTACTTCAGAGTGCCTTTTGATGTTCTCATGATGACACTTTACCACATAAGCGACAATGACATCATTTTAGGTGTTCACGGGCAGTTAACTACTAAATACCGTGCAAACCCCCAAATGTTTATTGTCTCCTACTGGTGTCCCGATGATGGATCACCGTAATACGTCCGCGGGACTTCCGCCACCATCGACGTCATTTCGCTCATTCCAGCCGTCTGTGAGGTGCCGTCCATGATGCCCCTATCGACTGTTGATCGAGGGGTGTGTGTGGTGCCGTCTGTGATGTTCCCCATCGACTGTTGATCAGGGTCATCCAGCGGCGGCACGTCGCACTGCCGCCGGCCGGGCCGCCACTTTGGCCGCCCGACGGGGCGCCGCTCCCGTGCAAATGACCCGCCGCAAAAACACGCCCAATCACACCCGATGATAGAACGTAAACAAATGGTGACCCAGAGGCGGCCGGTGACGTCATCGGCTCAGCGGGCCGCTATTTACCGGCGCCGCGTGTTCGCGCTCTCGGCGCGGCTCCACTTACAGCGCTGATTGGTGTCGGGGGTTTGTTTGAGACTGGTTCGTCTGTGCTTTGGGGAAGGGGCAGCACAAAACGAGCATCCAGTAGGTACTGGTTCGAGCACATGGATAGAAGTCAAATTTCATGAGCTGCCAACGAACAGAACGGGAGAGGAGCGAATTTCATGATACCGCCTTCTTGTAGGCGTCACTCTTCCACTTCTGTTCAGTGTCCACTGCACGCCAACGCTGCGGCAACTGACTTCACTGCCATAACCCGACTTCACAGTCGCCGTCATCATCCGCCCACCGCCGCGCTCACCGCTGCCATAACATAGTCCGTTAGGTGAGCATTGACGGGCCAATATCAGCCGCTCGACAGCGACAACAAAGGCCGGCCACTCGAGCACGCGCCCGCTGCTCAGAGCGCTCCCTCCCTCTCTGAGGCCGCGCGGGGGGGGGGGGGCACTGGTAGGTGAACTCAGCCCGGGGGCGCTAGTAGGTGAACTCGGCCCGGGGACACTAGTGGATGAACTTTGCCTGGGGGCACTGGTGGGTGAACTCGGCACGGGGACACTAGTGGATGAACTCTGCCTGGGGCACTGGTGGGTGAACTCGGCACGGGTGCACAGGCCGTTAACTCGCTGGGGCACAAATGCTCGATCCTGCCAAGATCACCAGGTTTGAGCCGGTTGACAGCTAGTATTTGACTTGGTTTTAGTGAGGGGGCACTGCTGCTTGATTCAGCAGAGGGAGAAGGCGGCGGGGAATGATTTTCAGTTCAGCCGAGTCCGGTTCAGACGTTCAGCTTGGTTGGTTGGGAGGGGTGCCCGGTGCTGGTATTGTTTGTGTTTCAAACTCTGAGGTTAGTGCGGGAGACTCGAGATGACATTTCGATCTGATGAGGCTGGCGAGAAGATATGGATTCTCCATTGAATGCGGGGTTGACGGGAAGCAATTGAGGCACATGTTAGCTTTTAAACAGTAAAAAACAGGCGACTTGAGTTTCATTTAGCAAGCTCTCGCCCTTGGTAAATTGTAGGTCGTCAATCGTTCCGGCTGTATGGTTTTGGCCGTTCTATCATTTATCACATTTGTCTATTTTTCCCCAGTAATTCGGTTGTCTCTTTTGTCATCACTTGTTCATTGATAGCCGCTATTGGATACAAACGTGACCGCTGACGAGTGTGCCCCAATGTTATCCAGTTTTCGGTGGCCACCGTCGGGCTGATGTATCCCGGGCCGTTCGGGCGGTGACCCCGCCGATTACAGGCCCAGGGCCGACAAATCCCGTCTCTGGGGGACCGGGGTCGGTCGATGGGCGCCCATTCTCGGCCTGTCGGGCTGACGGTGCAGCGCGCCTGGCCCGCCGGCCGCTGACGCCCCAGCCGGCCCGGCGCGGCGCCCGCCCGTCCGTCCGTCCGTCCGTCCGTCCGTCCGTCCGCCCGCCCGTCCGTCCGTCCGTCCGTCCGCCCGCCCCCGGCCGTGTTCAGAGTGACGGCGGGCCGCAAAAACATCGGCCATGAGCACCGATCCCGCGCCAGCGCCGCCGAAATGTGGGGGTGAGCGGCCAGCAGTCAGCAAGGCTCATTTCCAGAGATTGCAGTGAGTTCAGCAGATCGGAGTGAGGACCGGAGATCATCTTGTTGAGCGTTGACCTTTTGATTTCAAGTCTGGATGTGAGCATCTAAATTTAACTTCGCCATTCGTAGGATTTTAAAAGTGTGTCTGGGCCATCGTCACAGTAAAAACATGATAAATCACTTCTCCTTTGTGAGTCCCTAAAACCCAAAATGGCTTCTTCGCTTCTTCTCTGTCCGTGACAGAACCTCCTTTGACCCGACTACCCATGACCTCGCTCTCCGTCCCCGTCACCGTCCTAGCGTGTGTTCGGCATCCGGATAATCAGGGAGAATTTTCCGGGATCAGCGAAAATTATCGGGGATCACGTTCGGTATCGCGATAACGAGACATGCTGAAAAGAGGCGCTCACCAATAATTTTCCTCCGGAGAATATCCAAACGATAATATTTCCGGATGCCGAACGCACGCCTAGTGACCCATACCTCTCGTTTGTCTCACTGACCTTTGACCCGTGTCATCCGTTGTTCTTGTCACCGTGCCCCTCCCGTGTGCCCGACTGACTCATGTATACCTCCCCGTGTGTGGGACTGACCTGGTAGTCTGTTTTGAACTCGTGCTCGAGCACGCTGAGCCGCCGCAGCTCCCAGCTGAGCTCGAACGCCTGCAGGATGGGATCCTTGCTGCTGAGCGCGATCAGCGAGGGGCTGGCCAGCGCCCGGTACGAGTTGATCCGCGACCGGCTGTGGCGCAGTGAGTCCTCCTGGTGCGACGTCATACACTCCTCGCAGCCGCACCTGTCGGACACAAGTGACGTCATACACTCCTCGCAGCCGCACCTGACGGGCGGAGGACAGGGGTGACGTCACACACTCCTCACAGCCGCACCTGATGGACAGTGGTGACGTCATACATTCCTCACGGCCGCACCTGAAAGTCAGTATGGAAGTAAGATTTCGTCCTGAATCGGTAACTTACTTCATATCGATATTCGAATTTCGATGACCACGTTTGAATATAAAACTTTGATTCTGGTCTCCGTGCAAGTTCTGTCCATTTGGATCACCGTGTTCCGCTTTTCGCCATCTCTGTAGGGCCGCAGACGCCGTCACCACTGATACTCCTCATAGCAATAGACATTGCACAGACGGCACCCGGCTCCTGGGCGGGTGCGAAGGTCACCCGCCCCGTGTGCCGCGATATTACCGAGACTAAAGGGCAGCGCAACATTAATTGCAAACGATTACATGAATAACTCAAATACAAAGACAAGAATGTTTTCTATCACAATTAACGTTCTGCAAATGTGCATCTGGGACTTTTTTAACTTTTACGTGCAGATATTGAAGTACCCAACAGCTGTCGCAAAATCTATTGATGGTCCCCCGCGACCTCTGGACGGCTGTCGCCCGCAGCGGTCTCGCTCTGACGTCAGCCGATAAATAATCCCGTCTCGATTAGGTCCATGACTGTCATTTCTGGCCCAACGCTGGTGTTGTTTCAGTGCAGTGAGCGTAGCAGAACAAGTACCGATGTAGCCGCGGGGCATTCCATATAAATGGACTAACTCGCCCGCCTTTGAAGCTCTAATCCAATCCTCCCCATAGACATTGCACGCTTCGGGGATTTTCCATGATCTCTGCTATACTGAGCTGTCAAAGTTGAACATATTTTCCCATTCAGATATATCGTATCGCCATCTGCGAGCCGCGATGCCCCATCGCGGATGTTGCAACATGTGCATCGCATTTCACGCCGCTTCGAGTGGCCGTCCGCTGCCGTTCGGCATGCCCGCACAGAACGAGCCAACAAATTCCCAGTATCATTTTCGGACGGACAGCGCGCCCGGTCGGGGCCACAAATTCGGCCGGTCGGCGCGAGAATGGATAGCAGCCCGACCCGGCCCGCGGCGCTGTCCGTGCCACCCGTCCGTCTGGCAGCCGGTGGTGTCATCTGGCAGCTCTGGCGTGACGTCAGCGGCCGTGGCGACTGCCCCCCGCGGCCAAAACAATAGCGCGCGCTGCCAGCCGCCGCCGTGAATCACTCTGCTCGCGGAGCGGCGGCGGCTGGCGGCAGTCGCGACCAGCGAACGGTCCGCCGGCGACACGGGTCGACCCGAGCGGCGGGTCCTTAGATGGGCCCCACTAGACTCAAACAGCTCGACTCTGTTGGACTCATCTCGACGCCTTGGCGCAAGCCAGCATTTCTAGCTCAGGTCAGCTCGTTCAGCTACACCCGCCTGCCTCGCCGGACTGGGCCCACTTGACGACAGCGTTTGGAGGGCAGTGGGTCAGTGCGATTATCACTGAGTCGGCACGGCCGAGGCCATTGACAGGCCGGCCGGGTCAGTTGAGCGCGCCGCGGAGCGACTACAAACGAACCGTGACCGGAGGGATAGCGGCCGGCGGATGGACGGACGGTTAGGGAAGGCGATCAGACAACCAGATGGCGCGGGATGTCTGGGAGGATGGTGGAATGGCCCGAGGAAGAGATGGTGTGGGTCTGTGGGATGCCTGGGAAAGATGCAGCACAGCGATGCAGTAAAGAAGGCGATGCCGGCCACAGGGTTGAAATCGCAAAGACGGATTGAAGCCCGAATAATGCGGGACGCTGCGTAAAATTGCGATGCATTTCAATAAAAATCATTACCGACAGTGTCCCGCATTTACCACACATCCGTTAAAATGCCGTGCTGTGCAGAACCATGCACTGTAAGGCTCAATGCAATTGTTTATTCTTCGATGCAGCCTCGCGTCGCATAATTCCATTTTAAGTGACCCTGGGATGGTTGCCGTTGTGCCATATTGAAGTGATCTGTCGTCCTACACTTTATCATGTTCGGTACCTATCTGATAAATGTTTCTCTCATTCATTCAATATCTTGTTATTGAGACAGATCCAATTTCATCCAGTCCCCAATCAGCCCATTCCATCCCAGGGAGGTCCTCTATCATAATATCCGTATTTCTCATGTCCATGCTGTCATCCGTCATTTGCGTCTTTTTCTGTCCGTGCCAAGGTCATATCGTATCGTTCCTCCTTATCCCGTACCAGTTCCGCGCCATCGCATCTGTCCTTGGTCGCTCCAGTTCTGTGACGTCTTTTCTCGTCATATCTTATCCAATCTCATAACATCACATTTCTTTTCATTCGTGGCATTCTATCGGCTTGGATCGGTTCAGTTCTGTGCTATTCTGTGGCTGTTTGACCTGCCCTGTTTGTCCCACTGCTGGTCCCGCCCGTAGCCCTGTCCTGTATGTCCCGTCCCCTTCCTCCCCTCTGTTCGTCCCGCCCTGACCTGTCCTGTCCAGCCTGTCCTGTCCCGTCACGTCTATCCCGTCCGCCCTGTCTCGTCTATCCCGTCCCGTCCTTGACCGTCTCGCCGCCTCTCTCGCCCCGCCGGGCTATTGACCTGGCCTCGGTCGGCACTGGGCAGACCCGGCCGGCCGCCGGGGGAACACAGGGCGGACCGGGCTCCATTTCGGGGCTTCCGCCGTCGCCGCCGGCCATTAGCCGGTGCGGCTCATTACCGACTGTGTGCGCGCGCTGAGCCGCGCCGTGCACGCCGCCGCCGCGCCACACACGCCGCCGATAAATATTAAACACGTGCTGTACGAGAGGCGTGCCGCCGCACCGCGAGCCTAAAGCGGCGCACGGTATGATTGATGAGGGCGCCACAGAGCGACGGTGATGGATCCGGCGGGAAAGGAGCCGCCGGACGGCTGCAGAGACGCTGAGGCGCGTGTCGGGCTGCTCAGTGGCTGGACGGGAGAGGGCCGTGTGGGGCTCCTTAGTAGCTCAGCGGAGGAGAGGTGTGGGAGGTATTCCTCAGCGGCTGCGGGGCTCGCCTCCGGTTCTCTGAAGACGGAGGCGTGTGGGGGAGGATCAGACGCGTCATGCCGTGGTGGGTGTGAGTGGTAAAATAGTCGGCCTGCGTCCGGGCGGGTCGGTGACGGCGTCGTTTACACATATCTGTCACCACTATTTGGGCTGAGGACAAAATAACAAATCCAGGCCCAATTGCCCCAGGAATAGCTGCGGACGCGGTCGGCGGTTTCTGTGTCGGATGGTTGCCGAATGACCCGGAGCCTCCCGGATCTATTCGGAACACTGACGTGAAGATGGGCGGACGAATTCGGGCGGCTGCCCTCTCCATTCATTGATCATCAATGCCCCATTACCTTGGCACCCAGAGGTCACCAATCTCTGCTAATGCTGCCGCCGCTCCGTTAGCTGTCCCGGGCGCGGGTGGGCGGTGATCATCCCAGTCCCACTCACTCCTCCACACCCCGGTCCGGCCCGCTCACCCTCCCTAGTCCCTGCCCTCCGCGCGACAGATCGTACTCTTACCTCCTCCGCCGGCCACCCTGGATCAACATCACCCAATCTAATAGCCCGCCTGCCACATCATCTTCGGCTCCGTTCGCAGGTGCAGAGCCAATTGGTGGCCCCTCCCACCCCCTACCCCAGGTCCCGAGCCCCATCCCGCCGCGGCTCGGTCGGCCGGCAGGACCGCTGACGGTTTATCCTGTCCGCTCAGTCTAAACGGAGCTGGCGGCGCGGCGGCGCGAGCCCCACGGCAGTTAGCACCCTATCGAGCCGGTCGTTTGTGTCGGGGTACTGCGGGGAATCGGGTATCGTAAAGTGTCGCCACCTCCCCGCCCGGGCCGCGGCGACTGCAGCACAACTCGAACGCAAACAGACGCGATCCCAGAAATGGCACACTTGTCTCACAATCGGAAATACCAGAGACGCCTCGGAGAAGGAGCCCTACAAGTGAATCACCACCGAGTAAGGAGGGGAAATTACAGCAACCGTACCCTTGTGGAAAGGATAGGTATTTTAGAAGAAAAAAAAACTGAACTTAAATGATCATTGATCACACTACTGAGTCTTACTAATTGGTGGTCGGTATGACGTTCTCTAGCCTAAGACGGTAGAAGTAGCTGGTTGTATAACAAGTTGGTTGTAGAACAAGCAAGTCTGCCTCCCACTTATCGCAACAGAGTGCTTCAACGAGATGTCAATAATTTTGAAAACCGCCTGCGGCTGCCTTGCATATTTTTTTCCTGAAATCGACATCTTTTTTGACCAGTTCCCAATACATTCAGCTAATTTACATAACTCGTTTTAGCACGTCGGTGAATCGCCACGGCCCAAGTTTGTTATGTCTATGCTCAGAGTGGTGCTTCTTAAAACTCGATTCTGTAGAACGCCTGATTCAGTCATTCAAGGTCGGATAAACACTGCATACGCTATTTCGAAAATTGCGTAGCCCAATGCAGTTGATGAAATGTTGTTTTCAGCCTTTGCCGCTAGCTGTTGCAGCTTGACACTAAAAAGACTGTTGAATTACTGCGAGTTAAGAGTTTTGGGACCGCGGGATGACATTACCAGGCGATTGGCCGCATACATAAGATGGAATTAAAAAATCGATAAATTTTTGCCTAGTGGTTTACCTAATGCCTAGTGATTTGCATCGATGCGTAGTAAGTACACCGTCCTGCAGTAACTGCTGGAAACGACAGAAAAGGCGAAAGAACAAGTAGGCATCCTACTGAAAGGGACCCGGTACCCAGCTCGGGGAAAGCGCCACAGCGGGCAGCCCGCAGCGCACAAGAAACTCTGGCGTGTCAGAAACACGGGCGTCAATCTCCGGGGTGTCATTTTCACGGCGCGTGCCGGCGGCTGGGTGTGGGGTAGGGGTGGGGCTGCTGTGTTGTTGCTGCCGGCGGCGGGCGGCCGAGGGGAGCAGCGCCGTCGCGCTCCGCTGGGGCGCATTATAGCCGGCTCCCCGTTCCGTCTCTCGCAGTCCGTCCGATACCAGCCCACTGCAGACGCGATAATAATTCGCCCTCCGAGAGAGACGGGAGACCGCGGGCCGCTGCATGAATGCATGAGGTCGACTGGAGTCGAGTGCCCGCCTGATGGCAGTTTTGTCCTCTCGGTTTCAATGTGCGCAGGCCCGGCGGGCTGGGGGTGGTGAGGTCGCCAGTTGCCCATGTCCGCGACACTGTGTTGTGGCAAACAGTCCATTTGTGGTAACTTGAATCTGAACAGCCCTCGCCGCCCCCTCTAACCCTGTTGCTTTCTCGCTACTCTGATGGTGACATTCGAAAGCTGAGCAGAATTCGTAACAGAGGTCTTTGGTCACATCGCCGGGCGGTTTGAAATATGTCGTCGGGCAGCACAATGAGTTTCTTCCTCGAACCCATTCACCCGCGAGAAGGTGTCGGTCCAGTCACCAGGCGCCCACCGCTCGGCCTCCACGATGTGAGAATAACTCGCCGGCAACAGTGAGGCCGCTTTACACAGGAGCCATTCTGTGGTCGGCCAGTGGCACGATATGGCCGCCGGCAAAATATGCAGCCAGTTCCGGGCCGTAAAGTGCACGGGCGCCGCGGCGGCTGACCACAGCCGGCGGCAGGAGAGGTCAGCCGCTCTGAGCCGCGCGCGTCCAACCACTCACACTTCGGTATCCGCGGTATATTCGAGCCATCGCCATCGTTCTACATCAATATGCCGTCTTCCATCCCTTGTGTCGGTCCATTCTTCTGCCTCCCCACTCTCTCTCTCCCTCTCTCCCTCTCTCTCTCCCTCTCCCTCTCCCTCTCCCTCTCCCTCTCCCTCTCCCTCTCCCTCTCCCTCTCTCTCCCTCTCCCTCTCCCTCTCCCTCTCCCTCTCCTTCTCCCTCTCCCTCTCCCTCTCCCCCCCCTCTCTCTCTCTCTCTCTCTCTCTCTCTCTCTCTCTCTCTCTCTCTCTCTCTCTCTCTCTCTCTCTCCACACGAAGTCCGTTATTGAAGTATCGATAAATCCAGTTCATTGTCATCCTTTTCAACCCGTCGTCCCTCCCAGCCTCTTCAAAGAGCCTCCGTGACCTGTCCCGCCCCCTGCACCCGGTGACCCTCCCCCCCCCACCTAGAGCCTGTGACCTCAATCGTCTCCAGTCGGCGACCTCTGCGTCAAGGGCGCCGTCTGAGGCGCGCGCCATGTGTCACGCCGGATTCGGTGATTGCCACGACCCACGCCGGCCTGGCTCAAGTTCAGATGACGCATCGCCGGATTAACAGCCTGGCGCCGCCCAGGCGGGTCGGGGGACGGGGAGGGGGGGCTGTGTGCGTTCCCTCTGGGAAATGGATGCTCTGTAATAAGTTTCGTAAGGTCACTGTCAAAATGGCGTGCGGTAAATTATTACACTACACGTAAAGATTTTTCAGACACGAGTTGGCCATAAATTCAATTGCGTGTGCCTGATATGAATGGAGCCGAAGTAAAGCGCACGCAGAAATGATAGATTCGAGTGAATCTAAATCGGAAAAGTCTAGTCATGCGGACTGGTGCGCCGGCTGCCTGTGCGTCCGCAGAAATCGATATGACAAATCGGCGTGTCGGATACTGAAAGGTCGGCAAAATTCCCGGTACGGCCACGTCTGAAGTCATTATTGCGTAGCATCCTGTTATGGCCGCACGTGCTCCGGTGGCAACTGCGGCACCCACTGCTTAACTCCCCAGAGCTGAACAATACTTCGTCCCAGGAAGACGTCTGGGATGCTATTATGACGAATTTGTCAGGCTCTGTACTACTCTGACGGATCGCTGCATAAATATGCAGATTTTGATGGATCGCTTTCTCCCAGACAAGCCATGATATAGCTATGTGTAGCTATGAATAAATACCTTCTAGCTCTAACAAGTAGCATCTGCTATAAATAACGTGCATTGTACGAGGGCGCGGGATCCTCCCAGTTTCCAACACGTACCTGCAGCTGTGCGGAGTGGGCAGGCTGGCGCCGCGGTCCATCAGGATCTTGATGATCTCGTAGTTGTCCCGGTGGGCGGCCAGGATGAGCGGCGTGATGTCTGGCGTGAACGTGGCCGTGTCGGCCGGCAGTGCCTCCCAGCTCTGTGGACAGGGGCAGTAACATTAGGCCGGCAGCGCCTCCCAACTCTGTGGACAGGGGGCGGTAACATTAGGCCGGCAGCGCCTCCCAACTCTGTGGACAGGGGGTGGTAACATTAGGCCGGCAGCGCCTCCCAACTCTGTGGACAGGGGGCGGTAACATTAGGTCGGCAGCGCCTCCCAACTCTGTGGACAGGGGGCGGTAACATTAGGCCGGCAGCGCCTCCCAGCTCTGTGGACAGGGGGCGGTAACATTAGGCCGGCAGCGCCTCCCAGCTCTGTGGACAGGGGGCAGTAACATTAGGCCGGCAGCGCCTCCCAGCTCTGTGGACAGGAGGCGGTAACATTAGGCCGGCAGCGCCCCCCCAGCTCTGTGGACAGGGGGCGGTAACATTAGGCCGGCAGCGCCTCCCAACTCTGTGGTAACAAATACTGTGCTAGGTTGTTATTAGGGGAAGTTGGGGGAACGCCGAATACTTTTTTTCTGACGCCCGTAGCACGCAAGGTAGACAACATAAGCTATTCTTGTTGGCGTCATTCGAGAGGCCAGTCTTTTGCCTTTTTAACATTCCAGGCGCATTTGATGAATTCGCATACCGTTAAGCGCACAAACTAAAAATATCAAAGAAGTGACTTTTTCGGCGTTGCCCCGGACTGCGGGGAAAGCCGAAAATGGGAGAAATGATCTACGGGGAATGCCGACATTGATGTTTTGCCACTTTATCTCAAACTTTATCCAGAATTTATCAAAGCTGACGCGTTTTAAGAGCTTGAGGACGCTTGGTGCACACTGGAAGTTATAATTGTGTGATATATGTAATAAGAAAATGCCAGGTAAATAATTCCTTATAGGTAACAGGTCGTTGTGTCGGTTGAAAGTGTAATTTGTGTGACTAAAAATTCGCGTTGCTATTCTACAGCAGTAAAGTCCACGTAGCGTGCTTTAACGTGCGTAATTGCACGTTTTCGGCATTACCCCAGCCAGCCATACTTTCATTTGCAGGCCCATAACTTTTCAACGTGCCGCATAAATTTCAAATAGGCAGCACACTTATGCAAAGACGTGCTGAAGATTACTTGACCAAATTGGCCAGACAATCGGTAGCATAATGAGTAAGAAATGCAGCTTCAAAGGCGCATGTAGTACAAGGAACGCGTACCTTGAAAACGCTCTTGGCGCCCTCACAGCCGAAGTATTCCGAATGACGACTCGTAACAAATATGCGATAATTGTAGTCACTTAAGCTTCAGAGCATCACTGACAGGTGGCATCCATGTCTTACGGTTTTCGAAATATCTCGAATTTCGGCTTTGCCCCAACTCCGGCATTGCCCCAACTTCCCCTATTATAGCAATGAACACAATTTAGAACAACTATGACAAGGTGTAGTGGTGTTCACATGCAAGCTTTGATGAACAAGGAATGGCGTGAGATGCACCAACTCTGAGGACAATCAGGGACGCACCATTTCTGGGTGTCTTAGCTCAATACCAGACACACGGGAATGCGGGCTCAAAGTGGATGTGTTGCATCAGCCCCGTATGCATGTCTGACGGAAGTTATACACAGCCACAGCGGCGCGCTGTCGCTGGCCGGATATCGTTCAGTGAAATTCTGGCCGCCTGCTCGCCTCCGCAATGTTGTCTGTTTTTGCCAGTGACGTAAATCGTCGGCCTATGCAGTTTATCTCGGTGAATGGCGACGTCGGACGTTGAATGCCAACCGAAAGTTCGACGTCGCCGTTCACTGTCAACAAATTACTGCCGTCCCGGGAGCGGCCTCGGAAATTGGAAACCGTCCGATGCATGGAGTTTGTTTCTTTTTATGCCGAACGGTTATGCATTTATCCCACTGGGTTTCCCATCGGCTGGTGTGGAAACATGCGATCAACTTTCTGGAAAGGCTGCTCAGCACGGCCAGCCTGATATCGATTCACAAACTTTTGACGCAGGCATTGTATGCCGCACCCGGAGGTAGGGTGTCTGTGGTTGCCATCCGCCTACTGAATAGCGGACAAAACGCTGGGCACAGGCGGGCCGCGGACACAGTATTTGCCCGAGCCCCGGCCGGGCCCGGATACAGCGCGGGTCGCGCCCCGGCCTCCGGCGCTGACCCGGCTCCATCAGCGCCGATAGCCGGCCGCCGCGCACGGCCCATCGGACAATCACGCCGCTCGGCTGCACAAATCGCCGCAAACGATCGCACGTTTGTCATGCTGACAGACGGCGGGGCGAGCCGCCGACCCGCCCTCCCGACGGAGGCGGGCGGCTGACCTCCCTCCGCGGTCTGAGGCGCTCCCTCTCCTGCTGACCTCCCGGCTCTCCGCCTCCTGGCTCCTGCGGCCCGGCTCTCCACCTCCTACGGCCCGGCCGCGCGAGACGACTCTCCCGACTTCCTCACACTCCACGGCCGGCGACCTTTTGAAGTCGTCTAAAGTCCTTTGTGTTTGATCGTGCTCTTCTTTGCGCATGTGAATCACCTCTCCGCCACTTCTCGAGCCTGCTCTCCTCATCCAATCTTTTCGTATCTCCTCACCCTCCACTCCCGCCTGCTCCCATCCCTTCTCTCCAGTTCCGTCTCCTCCTTCCCTACTCCCGCCGTCATCCGGCGGCTCTCCGAGTTCTCCGTTTGTGACGCGCCGGCGCCACTTCTAACCCCATATCTGCGTTTTCAGCGCCGCTCCCCCCCCCCCCCCCTCCTCTTCCCCCAAACTCCACCATTTCCGCTTCCGCCCCGGGGTTCACTGGCCCAGTCGGCGCGGCGCTGACTGCTACAGTCGGCGCGGCGTTCTTCAGCCAGTTTTCGCCAGTTGACACACGCTCGCTGCGCCTCAGATCGAGGTTGGAGCGGCAGTCTCAGCCCCCGGCGGCGGGCGGGCAGGGGAACGGTACACCAAACCGGCGATACAAGACATGGTGTGACTGGCGAGAGGGAAATTGTACCACTGCTCGGACTTATTGGAGACGTGTTTGGCTTTGAAGTGTCGAGACCTAGCTTCTGATTGGGTTGGAGATACATTTATCTTTGTTTGGGGACGGGGAATGGCAGCTTGGTGACAGCTCTACGCGCGAATCGAGGAACTCATACTGCTGAATATTTTGGACTATGCAATTTGCATGCTGTGGTTTCGGGGAAAACAAATGGCATGCACTCCTCTTAATTAGCATGGTTTGTTAGTGTGCAATTTGAATCCAGCCAAGCTCGGCCACCCAGTCTAAGCTGATTACCCGTTTGTCGGTTGCCCCTTCTGCTGTGTTCTGCCCAATCATCAATCTGTTGGCCACTGATGTAATGTGCATCATGAATAAATGCGCCGTCTTTCATCATCCCTACAATGGCACGTCACAATACCGGAGCATAAAAACGGCAGCACAATAACCGCTATTATTGACCACACAAGTGGCGGCGACAAAAAAGGCGACGCATTCTGTCTTTTCTTCCAGAGGGGACGAGAAAAGGAGGCACACATTAGTTTTTGTTGTTGGTATTGATTGTTTGCGCCGTTTGCGTGACAGGTCTGTCGCTCCCACTCCCCAATAGTAAGACACTAACATGATTGGCAGAATAATGACACTGTGGGCATTGGTTGGAGGATTCAGCGAAGCGCGTACACGAGCACACGGCATGCTCCAGTGAGGCGTGGAGACGAGAGTGGTCTATTCGCCCAGCTACCGAGGTTCAGAAGGGAGGGGGCGGCATATGCAGTGTCGCGGGGCGGACGACTGAACTCACGTCCAGCTCTGTGGGGGACACTCTCGTGCAGCTCTGTGGGACACTCCTGTGCAGCTCGCTGCGGTACTCACGTGCAGCTCGCCGGGCCGGTGGATGAGCTCCTCGTGTTCGAGCAGCACCTCCACGGCCTCCACGTACTCCTCGTTGATGGCGTGCAGCAGGGCGTCCTTGGTCTCCACCTGAGCAGCGGAATACACGGGTTATGTGTCCGTCGGAGAGTCGTCGGCGGGGGCGTGCCATTGAGGCTGCGTGTTTTGAGTACAGAGCTTTTGGCACGTGTAATAACCCTACCAATCACATAATCTTTTACGCAGTTGAACAGTCGTCAAGTGCCGCTATTTTCGAGTTTTGACTTATTGGCAATGGCAATTATTGTGAACTTTGTCACAAAATCTTTGAACGTCCACCTTTGGCCGGAAATCCTGCCAATGCTCTCAGGCACAGTAAAAACTCTGTGGTAATGAAGGTAAACACAAAGCCTGCTCCGGCGGCCGGTGGTGTCCGATCGGTCGGCCGGCCGGTGTCGTGGCTCAGTACGATAGCGCGCTGGCCCGCACCCAGTCCCGGCTCCGGCACCGACCGTGATTACCGGCCGGCCGCCGCCGCCCCATGTGGGGCTCGATAACGAAGACAAAATAGCTGCAAACAATCCGATTAGCCGCCCGACCGCCGCCGCTGCCGCCAGTGGTTGTGCCAGCGGTGGTGGTTCGATTGGGCCGGGTAACGGCGGAATCGGACCGGCAGACTGCGTTCAGGTGGCAATCGTGTGTGAAACACAATGAATGCGGGGCTACTGCAAAGGCAGATCCCTTCATTTTTGGCAGGCTTCTTCCATCCCCTCTCTCCTCTACCTCCTCTCGCCCCCTCTCTCCCTCTCCCGGCAGCACACCTTGTTTTCGATGAGCAGCTCGACCATCTCGAGGTTCTCGTTGTCGATGGCCATCAGCAGGGCGGTTCGGCCCAGCGGGTCCACGCAGTTGATGTTCAGCGTGGGGGTGCAGTTCTGGGTCCGCTGCAGCAGGCTGCAACACACGTCCGGCCATGGTGAAACAATGATCGTGCAATGATCGTGTATAATAATGCTGCATCAATTCTGAATCGTAGTGGGACATCAAAACGACTTATTACAAGCAACCTCAAAAAGAATTTCTGAGAATCTAGTAATTGTTAAAAACGTACTAACTACCAACCCTCGCCCTGGCAGGGGAGGGGTTGATGCAGCCCTCCTAAGGTTTTTCAAAGATAGCGTACGCCAAATTTGGCACAGCCTATGGGGCAACCTTTTTACATATGACTTGAAATTTTCAGGTCCGGGTGACCTTGGACGATAGGCGTTATCACAAGTGTATTCGCGGCCATTGGGGCGACATAAGAAAAGAAGAAAACAACTGGCCCCAAGAACTTTAAATTATCAGTTAGCATGCACCTTTTCCTTAATATGTAAAGAATTTACCATTAATTGTTAGAGAAAATTGCATTTAAAATCTTTCCATTTATGCTTTTTTCATCGTTTGCACAGTATGTTCTTTTACTAAGCTAGAAACACTAATTATAAATAGTTCCCGCATCATCAAGAACAATAGGGAAGGCTTGAAGTGAATACAATAATCTAAACGGTTTTGTAATTCATGTGAAGACACTTCTAAAATTGCCTGTAGAAATATTAAAGGCAAAAGTTCAACTTTTTCACAAGACGGATGGCTATAAACCTATTCAACGTGTGACAACTCAGCCGGTATATCGTCGCCTACAGCCCAGCTTTCCCTATTGACCGATAGAGGCGCTGCTATCGATGTCCGCCCGTGCCGCCTAACGATCAGGTCATCAGGTTAGAAAAACCGGTACAAGGTCATGGTCAAATTTCAATTTTCTTTACGCACCTGTCCAACTCACAGTTTTAAACTTATTTCCTTCAAACTTGCAGCCTGCAGGATATGCTAAGCTCACCGAGTTGCATAACATAGCTATAGTTCGATTTTTATGTCACTGACCTGAGGTCAGTTAGAGGTCATTAAGTCGGAATGTTAAGCATAAGGGAAAATATTCAATTTGGAAAATACTGGAGATTTCCACTTCGTTCTATCACTTTTGTGCTTTGAAACCACGGTACGTAACAGCAGGTCACTTGGTGCTTCTTTGTTTGGTGTACTTATCCATGGGTGAGGTCAAATGAGGTCAACTGAGGTCAACTGACGTCTGTGCCAATAACTTATCACATAATACCGATAAAACTTTCAAAATGGTATCATTCTGTTCCCATCGAACAGCCCAGTCGAATGATGTGCAACATTAAGCATTTTGATCATTCTTAAGCCTTAAGTTGTGCTTAAGATGTGCTTAACTTTTTAAGTACACTTAAGCAAGCAAACAAGTATAATATTCGACGCGCCTTGACGTGCTGAGTTCACTGGTGCTTTTGTTTTTGCTCTAACTTAATTAGATCAAAAGTTACAAGCGAAAACTTTTGACCTGTTTTTAGCGAAATTTTGACATTTATACCCCCCCCCCCTAAATATTGCTCTAGAGCAACCAACTTTGCCCAGGGGAGAGAATTGCAGGGGGCCCACCTTACTACCAAAGTTGGTGTTTCTATGTGCCATAGGAGCCAATCGCGAGAGAGGGTGCATCACCCCCCCCCCCCCCGCCAGGCTGTGTTATGAAAAATGCCCTGCCAGGGCGAGGGCTAAGACGCTGAAGGGTGACGAACGTCACTTTTCTTACCGTCGGGTGGTGGCGACGTCACCCCTTTCGACGGCCAGAAGGAACCTCTTCTCCTCCAGCGTGAGCGAGGCCATCTGTTGGTGGGGGCGGACATCCTGGGCGGCGGTCACCTCCTGAAATCAAACGGCACGGGACGGTCATAAACCGGTGGTCACCTCCTGATACCAGGACACGCGGCGGTCGGCTCCTCAAATCCTAAAACACACTACCACACATTTCTGCACACGCATAATTTTGAAGACCACTTTTTACGATTTACAAAACCAGCTGTGGGGCCCATGAGAAGTCCATCGTCTGAAATTACAGATGACGCCTATTATGATTTGTTGCTCGCGGGCTCGGGACCATTCAGGTTTTAGCGGCCGTAAGTAACGCCCTTACTTTGTTCTATAAAGTACCGGCCGGCCGGCAGCCCGACGGTATTTGGAGGGCCGCCCAAACTAATGGTCCAATCTGGCTCGAACGCCGCCAGAACAGCGGCGTTATTACTGTAAATCTATCAGCGACTAAGCCCCGAATTCGCTCTAGATCATCACAATGGGGACGTGTGCTCGCTGTCGGCAGTTTCGATTAGGGCAGCGGTAGCTGGCTATTGTCTCGGCTTAGGTAGCCTAATTGCTGAATGAACAAGTATGGGCCGTACTCGGCATGAAATGAGCTTGTGGAACATGACATTGGTGTAAGCAGCAGGTGGATTACGTTGTAAGATGTTTTGTTTATGATGTGGACTGGCGGCTTGAATGCGAGACTTAACTTAGGACTAAGTTAACTTTATAAATGTTGGTAAAATACTGTGCAGGGACAAGATAGCACTATCAAACAAGTTATGAAAGACCATCAGAAACCGCCAAACTCTCAGATTGCGATTGGAACAATTGATGAATCACCGGGATTTTCGAGTTCCAGCAGTGGCCTGGCACAGTAACAAATCGTCTGTGGCGCTCGCACGACCAACTAAACATCGCCTTTGATGGTGATCGTCTGTGTCAGAAGGAGGCAAAGATAATTCAGCTGATCAGTCTCAGTGTGTGGGACCAAGAAGGACCGTGTCAAACTATTCTTTTCTATGATGTATTTGTATTTTCGCCGACTGTGATTGGCGCTCCCTGCCCCCCCCCCCTCCCCGCCCACGTTGGCTCGGCCAGTGTCACCAGCGGACCGACCCCACCGGGAGACGGGCCGTCCTTCCGCCAGGAAGACACACCATTAGACGCTTCCGGAGCGTGTCAACGTGGAGATGGCAGTGTCACCGTGGGGCGCAGTGTCACCGCGGTGGGACTGGGGTGCAATGCTGTCACCGTGATGGAGCTGGGGGGGGGGGGGGTGCACGGTGTATGTAGTGTTTGGTCACCGTGGGTACGTAGGGGCGCAGTGTCGCTGTGGGTCGCAGAATCTTATGTCGTGTCCCCGTTGGGGTACAGCGCTGCGTTACCTCGGCGCTGCACTCCCATGCCCCCCACCCCACCCGTTCTGTCACCCCGCTCCGGCCTCCGCCCTCCATCCCATGACACGGCCGGGTTCCGGGACTCCCCCAGGGCTCTCCGGAGACCCGGGGAGGCCGGGGGAGGGCAGCGGAAGGCCCCTGATGACCCGCCGACGCCCTGCGCTGATACCGACACACGCTGTCGACGGAGCAGTGATCCAATTGCGTCATCGTGACGTCAGTGGATTGTACTGAAATGACCTCTTCTGAAGAGATACGCACACGACACCCATCGCTACACGCCCCGACGCGGGATGGATGACATTGGATTTCATAACTGGCCATGAGCCGAACCCATTTGTTTGGGAAATGTCATGCTTCTTTGCGAGAAGGAATCTATAGCATTAAATCCGAGGGCGCGAGATATACTCACGCAGCATCGGGGAACTATAAATCGGACGCCATCGTAAATCCGGAGTATCGGATTCGAATCAGCGTTGGCTGCAGTCCGAGTCCCGGTGGGTCTCCCTGGTTAGTTGTGGTCGTACTGTCATGTGCTGATGGGGTATCGGACCGCTCAATTTGCCGCTGGGCTTGCTTCCCGGGCTCCTACGGTTTGCAGCTAAAATAAACGTCAAATTAGAAGCAAAAAGCAATAAATAATTTTGAAAAAGCTATGCTGTGTCTGCCCAGCCACCGTTTAGGGGCTTGGAACCTTTTTCATACGTTCACTTTTAAGACGATTTTGTAAGGAGAAAAAGCGCATAAATACAATGCACGCCACCAACCGTCGGCAGCTATTGAGCCAACTGGAGCTAAGCACCAACATATCCAGAGACCCGTCATCGCCCTCCGTCATCCCTCGCCCGTTCTCCGTCATCAGTGGCCTTTGTTCGCAGCGGCAGCGGCCGATCAGCGCCGCTGTTCAGCCGATAGCGGCCGTAAATGGGCTGCCGAATGGCGGCGCGGGAACGGGGGGCAGACACCGGCACACAGCACCATCCACCGGCTACGGACGTCGGCGAGGGGGGTGGCTTGTCAATGGTTCAGTATGGAAAATACTATGGATTAAAGGTAGTGTGCCACCTTTGAAAGATTTCCCGTTTTATTTTTCCTAGGAAAAGAAGCTTCTGTTTTTACCTAATATCGCAAAAAAAAATCAAAAATGGGCCTGGAATAGTGCCTTTTTCGCCTAAAAGTTTATCGGTTTTTAGATATGTATAACAACTGTAGTGGGCTCACCTGCAAACAGGCGTCGGGCAACAATCGCGAATGCGGCGCACTTGTGACAATAAGCAAAGGTCATTATAGTGTTACGACCATACGACGTACGGGAATGAGTTATCAGCTGTCTAATCGTAGACAACACAATGTCGAGCCTTAAACTGTAAGCCTGTATTGGTATTGTTTCTTAAATTTGGCTGTCGAACAATAATTTGTGGTTTGAAATATGATTTTGTGTAAAATAATTGATATGAAACAGCCGTCTCTTAAGTTATGACCCCATTACACCACACGCAAGTGGCAGAAATGACAATGATCAGCTGACGCATTTTTCTTGGCCGAAGTCAGAGCGCGCGGCCCGACGCACCACGCGTATTTGGAAATTCCGACCTCGACGAGCATCAGAAGCCACCTAACAGGCGTGTTCGAAACCGCAGGAGATGATGATGAACGGGTTTATCGAAACTTGATTGGATAAGCCTATCGGTAATAGCGATTTTAGTGTGTGCATTTATTGTTCATAGTGGCCGTTTTCACGACGGAACTTTCGCAGAGGAACTTATTTGATACCTAAAAAGTACCTACCCTTAGAGGCCTTAACATCCCTCAAACTGAAATATTTTATGTTCAAAATAATTTTAAAAGTTTAAATCCGGGCATTTTTTGCCCTCAAATCACTTATTTATTTACAAACACAGCAATTTTTGGTTCTAGTAGCCCACCTTTCGACTATGAGGTATTAAATCAGCGTGGCAACTTGCTCCCTCTTTGCTCCCTCGGGTATCTAATTCCGGAATTCTTAAAAACAAGGAAAGTATATATCGAGTTCTCTTTTATACCTATTCAGTTATGTTTTAATGGTGATTAAAATATGACAAATTTTTTAATTACATTTCATATAAGAAAACACGCAAAACAATGAAACAAAAATAACTACGGCAGATAATTACCTTCAGGTATCTAATTCCGACCAATCAGCACCTCAGTAGGATATGACGTCATACAAGAATGGTGGTGAAGGCCGTTTGCAGTTCCGGCCGGTAGGTCACGTGACCGCCGGGCGCCTCGGGTCACGCGGCGGTCGTGAGTCGGACGCGGGGCGTGGTCGCGGGCGGACGCGCGGGGCATCATGCTTTGCTTTGCTTGCTTTGTCAACTTCATATAACTTACTATCGCATTCGTGTGAAAGCCAAACACTGCTCAGTGCCCTTAGAAATTGAGTTTTGGAAAGCTCAAGTCCCTATAGCTCCTCAGGTCGGCAACAGTTGAAGCCTCATCTGAACCCATGTGAAAAAACGAGGGTAAGGAACCTTGTGTTGCTTTTTCTTTTACCGTCATAATTATCTCAAACCATCACAATTTTGAGTTGCCACATTGTCTGCTTCACTACATTCGTGTAAAACTTGGGTGAAGGCTGGTGGCTCAAAGAAAGGTGAAGATATTTCTTTAAGTGCCTAATCCGTGAAATTGAAATATCCCGGCTTTACAAATCTACACTTTTCATTTTCTCCACGATCCATTTTTTAAAATTGTTTAAATTTTATCTACATTTGTTAAAATCGGGGCTTTGGTTTTGTGTAAACTAGATCATAAAGTTTACTATAGTTTTGTGTAACCTGATGGCTGAAGAAAATAGTAATTTTGCTAAAATGATGTGCGGAAATTTGTTGCTTTCCAAATCAAATTACTCATACCTATATTTCATTCAAAATTAGGAGGCATTATTACTGTTTTTTCTTGTAACATGAACTGAGTTTGGGTACGGTGCTCCGGAAACGTTGTGGAACTTTAAGCTAGCTAGAGCAGTTTCCATAAAAATTGTTTAGATAGTTGACATGGCTTGTTGACAACTCTTTTGCTGTTTCTAAAAAAGTGGAAAAAATATTTTCCTGCATTAAGCACACAAGGCATGTTATTCTCATAAGCTATCGAATGTGTGTGTGTGTTTTTTTTAAGCTGTTTTTTTAAGCTTTTAAGCTGTAACTTCAGTTACTTCACTTTAGAACATATTGCCCAGAATGCGTCACTGATCATGAGCTGGTATATCATATCATATGTAGCAAATACATAAATGAGAATAGTGTGTCATGAATTTTTGTGCATGCTTCTGGATCATCTGTAATTACATCAAAGGCTCGGCTCAAGAGTGTCCTGCCGACCAGCTTATGCCCAACCCTTTCTGTCCGCAGAACGTCGCCTGCGACTCCCGCACGCCGTTTGCCCCGGCCGTCCGTACTGGTCTTCGCGCTGCGAGCCGCGCTGGAGTTCGCGGCGGCGTCGTGGAGCTCCCATCGGGACGGCGTGTGATGCCCGCGTCGAGCTTATAAGCCGTGAGCTTCGATTGGCGGCTCACGCGGTCACCAGCTGTATGTACAGCCTCGGCCCCGACGACCCCGCTAATGGCCGAGACCGGCATACCCCCGGCATGGGTCCGCTGTCCGGCGCAGCGCTGGCCGCCCGCATGCTATGCTACTTTTGGCTGTATCGCTGCCCAGCGGGAGCGCGCTCCACGCTGCGGAAGAGGTACACGTTGCGACCCGACTGAGGACTGCAACCGGATGGTGACACGTCGGCCTCTGCGCCCTGGCCGGGGCAGGCGTGACCGACGTCACAGTGGAGGAACGCCCAAACAAGACCAGCCCACCGTCGGAGCAGCATGGAAATATCATGTTCTGCCTGGACGTCGGACCCGGCGGCGGCGCAGTGCACCTGCACACGTGCGGAGAGGGGCGCTGGAGGCTACTCTGGAGCTTCTGCCATTCCGCGGCGCGACTGCTGGCAAAACGGCGGCGATTGAGGCGGTTGGGAACAGCTGCAGCAATGGTGATGGCGGTGATGGCGACATGGCGGTTTGGGACTTCATCTCAGCGCGGCCGCCGCCCAGGCGCCGCTGCGCCCGGCTGCTCAGCCACCTACCGGATGGCGGGGTGGCCCTTACGGCCCTCACGCCCGTTCGGTCTGCGGCCACGTTGTGGGGTGGCGGTCGCGGGGTTAGCGGCGTTGGACTTCGTCCTTTATCCAGACTGCACCGCACCATCTGAACGGATGGATCTGCCAAGAAAGATGACATCCAAGGCGGCTATGAGGCGATCACAAAGCTTCACCAAGAGCTTCTCCTTCATGGGGCCGGCCGGCCGTTAAGTCGCAACACCGGCTGCCGAGTGCCAACAGCTGCGTGCGCTGGCGCCGACGCGTTGTGGGCCGCGCTGCTGACGCCTAAGCTGCGATATCAACCATCTATGAATAAATGGCAGCGGTGGCGGCTTGTCAGTTGTTAACGTGCCTTAACAGACGTTGCGAATAGCCTGCGTTGGAATCGCATGGTTGGGAACACAACGCAAGTAAAAATGGGCTTCCTTGATGAACCTACTTTTTAAGCATTGTAGCCTTTGTAATTTTGGATGTTTTGCTGTAGATATTATTTTCTACATATATACTATATAGGCACTCACGTGCTTTAAATCGCGCAATGCAATTGAACCATGGTAAAGACAATGATAAATGAACTGAGAGCTGACATGCCCCATGCTTTGTGTGTGTATGTGTGTGTGTGTGTTTTTTTTTTGCGAGTCGATAAAAGTGGTTTTGGACACTGGATGAGTTTTTAGGGGTGTGGTGAGGGGGGATGTAATTCCACAGACCTTCTGTCAGATTCACTAATGCAGTAGGTCTGTGCGGTGTTTAGTTATCGGAGCATTCTTTGAAAGTCGTGAATAGGGCCACCGAGTACCTAAAGCCGTGATATTCCCCCACAAAAACTTCTTTTAAATAACCGGGGATAGGTACATGAGCAGAGTAAATGCTATTACGAACGCCTATCACAATGCTGAGCGAATAGGAAAATCCATAGATGGAGAATTGTGCCGCGTTACGGGTGCTCGGGCGCAGCCAATCCACCGTTACCCCAGCGGTGACCTTGACCCGCATCGTCTGTCTCGGCTCCAAAGCCAAACCGGCGTGGAATTGGGAGCGTTCGAGCACTCATGGTCCAGCGCAATTCTCCACCTAAATCCATTCCTGATACACATTTGCTTGCTCATAGTCATGTAACCCCGGTAAATTCACCCAACTTTCATATTGGTCGCTCCATAGACAGATGGCCACAGAGATCAACTTAAAAGGCCATTGTTGCATTCATTTAGTGGAGATCATTAAAGAGCCGTGACAGGCCACAAGTCGCGTGACATCATACGTGTAACGACCAATGACGTCGGCCTGCAAAACCCAATGGAAGCGGCTAGCAGCGTGCAATAAAACAGGGCGCTGCTTTCTAAATGTCTGTCGTGCGCCATAAATGAATATATTCTTTGTAGCCTGGCAACTCAGTATCTTTTTTTTAACTATTGTACTAGTATTTAATAATTTCATAATTTTATAATTGTGCTTACGCTTTATGTTGATATTAGTGATAAATCCTTAGATAAAGTAAATCGATGTGATATTTAATAGAAAAATAGCAAACTAACGCACCATTCATTCGAAAGCTGGGGAACCCACTAAAAAGAACTACTAAAATTCCTGAGGAACTAAAGGATTAAATGGGGATTAAATAGATGCCTGCTATTCCGTCGTGAAAACGGCCAGTGGTGTGAAATGTGGTTGGGGTACGACCGACAACCCGTCGGGGCGAATTTCGCACTGGGGTACTCAAAATTTGAAGAATTTAAGACGTTTCCATAATTTTTGAAGGTATGGATAAGTTCTAAAAATCCGGTTCTCCTTATCCGAGTCATTAACTCCATATGGTCCAAGAAAGCTGGCACACTACCTTTAAGCGTGAGACATACAGGGTGATTTTTTATACAGGGCAAAAAGTAAAGAGCGATGGTGGTACCAGAAAACACATCAACTGCAAAAAAAATGTTTTTTTTTTTTGTAATAAGCACATTCTGACATTTCATCTGCACACATAAACTTTTCGTTTGAGCTCCTTTTAGGCTTATAGAGCGTGTTCGAAGTGAGTACCGTTTTAATGCACGCAAGCATGAGCCCGTCTCCTGATGGGTCGCGTTACTCGGATGACTGCGTACTCGCTAAGCTCACTATGACAGAATGAGTCCCAAGAAGTCTCTAAAAGGTCCTGAAAACAAAATGACAAACAATTTTCTTTCACGTGAATATATATTTTTTGTGTTTGCTATATGTTTCGGTACCTCTAGGCTAAAAACCTTTTTACCCTATAAAAAAATTCACCCTGTAGATCATTTGCAACCGATGTGAGAAACTACGAATATCAGTAGATGCCCTTCATTATATATTGAATCCATCGCAATACGCGATAGAAGAAACAAAACTGTTGACATCATGCGTGTTTTTTTTTTTGCATTGGTGTATTTGGTATCACCTAAATCAATCAATATAAAACTCCACACCGCCTTCCGGACCTTTAGCTTTGATGTTCAGGGCCCTCTCGGGGATTAAATGCGGGCTTCTAATCAATCTTCCAAAAGACCATAGCCGTCACCTTCAATTGGATTTCACATAAATTCACGGACGCCGGAGGGTGCTGCAGAGAAAAGTTTGATCTAAGAGGCGAAACGGCGAAACCAAGTGATAAATTGTCGGGAGGATGGCTGGCTAAAGCATAGATCAATTAAAGAAAACAATAACAAAACAAACGTCCCATCTAAACTGTAGGTAAGTACCTTCCAAATGTTGGTGAGCCGTTGTGCAACAAAATTTAGTCCAAACATACCAGAATTCCAATTACTGTATCAACAACTTCTTTGTACCCACTGTTTAAAAAGGTGCATCGAATAAACAGGTATTGGAGGGCTATGGTACAAAATGCTCCGTTCGCGGGACCGTACTCCGTTTTCAGCAGTCCCCGGCAGTGATACCATTCAGGCAGTTACCACTCAAAGGCAGTGACAGGAGATGCAGCCTGCGATTATTTGGGGCTGGTCCTCTATAAACTTTCAGAACAAAGGGAAAGTATTCAGTGCCGGCGGCACTTGTAGACCATTTATGAAGCCTCAGCCGGAGACTGTGTGCAAAAATCCCGCCTCGCATCCATCACAGCTCCCACGACAACAATGGCTCTTATGCATGCATTGTCTCCGCGGCCAAACACAAGAGGCTCTTATCTGCATCGGCCCGCGCTCCCCGCCACGCCTCCCTCCTCTCACCCCGCCCCGGCGCGGCGCGGCCGTCGCTGTCTCCGGCTCCGCCTCCATTCAGTGTGTGTACTGCCTCATCCCGTCCCCGCTCCCATCCCATCCCATCCCTCTGGCCAGTGTCATTGCCGCCCTGTATCGGGCCTCACCATCATCCCATCAGCTCCCCGTTCTTATACCCCGAGGGTCATACCTCCGTCCTTCCCTCTGTTCCACTCCATCCCATTCCATTTTACCACACGCGACCCCCTCAAGTTCTACCTGTTCTCCTGGTTGCATCTGTCTTTTCCCAGTCTCTCCCTGTCCCATCCCTCCCACCCCGCCCGTCCCCAGTCCCTCGCCCCTCGCCTCACGTACCGTCTCGGCGAGCGCGGTGGGCTCGCTGCCGCCGTGGTTGGCCAGAGGTTCGCGCATGGTGCGCCCGACGCCCGCCAGAGGCACCAGCGGCACCGGCGACGTGGCCGTGCTGCTAGCTGTCCACCGGCGCCTGGCGGTCAGGGGTCAGAGGTCAGAGGTCAGCGCTGCCAACGCCCAGTGATTGGGGCAGATATCTGGGCAGGGAGGCAGCTCTGGGTATTTGGGAAGCGGCGCTACAGCGAAAACTTTTTTGTTTATCGATGCCGTTAACCTTCCAGGCGGTGGGGGGGGGGGGCATTTTTTTGCCCCCCTTTAGTTTTTTCGATATATCTCGAGAACCGCTGCGCCGATCGTCACCAAACTTTCAGTACCCTCCCGGGAGCAGCTAGCGCACATGGTGACCAAAATTTTTTCCAAAAGCTATGATAGGTTGGCCGCTAATGACGTCAGAGTGAAGTCATTTTCGCCATTTTCGACCCAAAAAAAGGTTTCGCGGGAAGAGCTGTCAGGCCTACAGCTTTAGAGATACAGAAAAATGTTTCAGACATAAAAGGTGTGGAATTACAAGGGCTACAAAACTGCTATTTCGGTTTTTCGAATTTTTTGGATTTTGACCCCCAAAATCAAAAAAGATTTTTTGAATATAATAGCCAAAAAATCAAAAATGTTTATTGAATTTCGAAAAACCGGAATATATGTGATAGCCCCTACCGCCTTCTATCTACATACCAAATTTGAAATCGATACCTCTTTTTTTGGCCAAGCTATAGCGAAAAAACTGTTCAAAATTGATGACGTCAAATTTTCAAACTCAATTTTTAGCAACTCTAGACCTTGCAGCGCAAAACAAAGACCACCATTAGACTCCCCGTGACGAGCTGCATCGAATCGATACCCATTTTATGCAAAAATATCAACTTTGAAATTTGATCTTTTTTTACCTGACCTTGACCTGACCTCCACCAGAAAGTGACCTAAACCGTACCTGATGGTCTTATAACCAACACCATTGAGTTGGAAATGAAAAACTGTCAATAAAACATGCATCGCATGACCTTAGTAATGTTGGGCTCATGTGGTGACTCTTGGTGACCTTTGGTGACCTGACCTGTGACCTGACCTGGTATGACCAGTGGCCTCTAATAGCAACATATGTACTAGACAACTGACGCCTTATCGCTGATTTTCGACAAAATGCGTTTTACTCGGTGTTATAGCGCTTTCCCTAGAAGCCCCGTGAACGGTGAAACATTTTATCTTTGACCTGACCTGTGACGTCATCGGTGACCCCGAAGTCAATGAAATTTGGTTTCCCTCGACAAATTTGACAAGGATATCGAACGCCGTTTGAATTTTCCGGATCCAGTAGTTTCGGAGATACGGGGGGGGCAAAAAAGTGCCCCCCCCCCCACCGCGCGGAAGGTGGCTGGTAGGCCCACCGCCTGCCGGGTTAATGCACTGTTGTCACTCAGCCTTCTTCATGAACTGCCGCTTCACTGTACTTTACATTCGAAAGATATTTCGGTGGCCTATGCCAAACGCTCTCCGATTCCAAGAAAGGTGGTCGTGGACATGTTTTACAAAAAAAAAACTTGTATTGGTGTTCTCAGGGAGAGTGTTTGTTCGGCTATAATGCAACGTCAGCGCTTTTCACATGCGCGAGTTAAAGTGGCAGTCACCAGTTTTATCTGGATAGCTGTAAAGAGACCGAACCCATCTCGTGATTGCACATAAATAATAAATCTGCAATCATGTTCCGACGGTGGCGGAAGATCTGGGGTCGCACGGTCGAGCGATACGGGCGATCTCGGCGGGGCGATGTCCGCGGGGCGATGTCTGTGGGGGGGGGGGCGATGTCGGTAACCGCCCGGTGTCCGCCGTGCCGGCGGCCCGGTCGATCCACGGAGGACGGCCCGCTGACCGGCCAGGGACGGCAGCGGTCCGCCGCGGCTCTGACCTTCATCAGGCTGGCCGCGCCGCCTCCGTGGGACTATCCGCTCAATTGGCTGGCCGCTCGGAAAGTTCCGAGCTGTCACCGCTGGGCTTTGGACGGCTCAACGCAGGGTCGGACCGGTCGAGCGGCGGCGGGTGGGGGGGGGGGGGGGGCGTAAGCTGGGAGAGGTGACGAGGTGACTCTGTGGTCATGACTCGGGGCCAGGGAGAGGAGTGAGGACTGAGGAGTGAGTGGGCCAGAGGGGGAGAAAGAGAAAGAAAGAGGAAAATAGATAAAGGTTCTTGATAATATTCATAACAGTGGCATGACATTGCCATATTCCACGATATGCGTATCCCAATAATGGTTCCTCTCAATATTTTTAATGAAGGGAAAACTTGCCAACGAACACCATGACAATGCAGCCGTGAGGATCGCATGCCATTCCAGACGGCTAAACTGCACCCGGCTGATCATTGGATATCGTTTCGGGGCGGCTCCAGTATCAGGAATAGCCTGGAGACAGCGTAGCACATTCCGCGCCGGCCATCATTGTGCTATGAGAGCCTCTATCGGCTGCACATATTGTCGGCTCTCTTGTAGTCGGTCGTGGGACGGGATCTGCGCCCATCACAGCGCGCTTAATGGCACTTGGGCCGCATTAACGGCCGGCCGGCAGAGGCGCTATGACGGGCCACACCCCTCCCCCCGCAGGCCGCCCCCCTCCCCCCCCCCCGGGCGGCTGCCGGTGTAATTTTCTGGAGCTGCAGATAGACGGCGGCCGGCCGTGTTTGTTGGCAGCCGCGTATTACGCGTATGTGTCCGATAGCGCACTGTTCGAGCAGCGGCAGAACCGGCGGCGATAGCGGCCTTATGAGGCGGCACAAATAGCGGCCGGCCGGCGGCAGCCGCCGGTAAATGCAGGTATTGGACCCGGGAAAATAGCAGCGCGTAAATTCCGACACATATGCAGCTCAGGCGGATGGTGTCGGAATTGGCCTGGGTAATGTGGATGTCAACTGCTGAGATTGTTCATGTATTTTGTGTTCTTCCTTTTGAGCTAGCTTTTAAACAAGCCTTATCTTTTCTGTGCAGGCTCAGGCAATGCTGTCTGGGCTTGTTGAGATTAAAGTCATTTTAATCTAGCGCGAGCTGTGAACAGCCGGTACGGTGGTAACAGGAATGTGTGTTTTCTGTAGAGAACAGACAAGGAGCTGCATTTTCTGCTGTCTGTGTCCCGAACTGTCCCCGCAGTCAGTCTCGATCCGTCCGTCTCTCCGCTAACGGGCCGCCCGCGACCAATCGCAGGGGGAGTGCTGATTACGTGTCTGCGACTGTCGTCCAGCCGGCCGGCACTGGCTCATTCCTGGCGTCATTCCCCTCTGGTCATAACCATGTCGCTCCCGTCACACGGGCCCTCAGGCTCGAGCGACAGCTCGGCGACCGCGCCGGCCCATCCGACCGGCTATCGCTGTAATTAACGGCCTCGAGGAGAGGACCCGGGCGGCCGCCGCCGGCTCCGGACCGGCTCCGGCGGGCTCCCGGCCGGCTCCGGTGGGCTCCCGGAGGACGGTGTGTCTGCACTGATGGGTGCGTGGCCGGCTGATGGCCCCCGGTCGCGGCCGGTACCCGGTCGGCGCTGGGCCGTCAGCCGCTCCCAGGGCCACCGTCAGGCCGTGATTGGCGGTAATGTGATCGGCCGCCGACTGAAGTCGCCTCTCCGGGGAAATGCCGTGATCGTAGATCGGTCGGTGACGCGGGTCTGAGCGCGGGTGGTCGGGTCGAGCACCAGAGATACCGGTCAGGACGGCGCTCTCTCAACAGGGCGTGCCATAGCTCTGGTCATACTCGTAGGTATTAACAACTGGGCGTGAAACAGTGGCGATTGGAATTCCCGTTACGGTCAAATCCATTGAACTGAATTGGCTTCAAGTGTTATTGCAAAACCGTGCTTCGGCGTCAGATGATTGATGAATCTCAGAGTAGATAAGGCCACTCATCTGTATAAATGGTATTGCTTGCTTTGCTTTTATAGCTACAGACCTGACTGTAGAGCTCAGAGAGTAGTGATTTGAGTTATGAGCGCACAAACGCTGTTAGCTAGCCACCAGGCGTTAGCCCTTTTTATTGCATATACTATATTCCATATAAAGCGTTATTTTTGTCGGTACAACATTAGTTTTCTGTATGTTTATATCTGTGTAAGCACTGTTTCCTACTGCAAGTAATCCCTCGTTCACTCGTCCCCATCTCCCTATTCTCCGCTGTCTCTTCCCCTCCCCTGCAGCCAGACGGGAGCCGCCGTGTTCACTGCGAGTCCACTGTCCCGCAGTACAGTCGTGCGATGCGGCACAGCCTACCCACCCGCTCGGCTCCGCCGTGCCGCCGCCAGCCCGGCCTGCGTCGGACTATAACCGCAGCCACTGGAGACAGATGTGTCTGCAGCCTGCCCAGCGGGATGCGCCAGATTACAGAAAAAGAGCATCATAAAGGAGATAAACGTTATAAATTGTGCTCTGATGGCCGCCGTATATTTGCTACGGTTTTTGCCGCCTTCTTTTCTGTGCATGAGAAAGTGGAGGAAGAATATTCCGAATACAATATGGCGGCTAATGCAACTTTTGCCTTTTTTCTCATCACCTTGACCTCTTCCTTGAAGACTTTTATCATTGTATCGTGCCGTTTTTCGTCTGTCTGACCCTCTTTTCCTCACATGTAGGGCCGATCACATTCTGATCTCGATCCATTTTTCTCATTGCTCATGTCTGCTGCTCTACCAGAAGAGAGACGAACCTCTCTCATCCATCGCCAATAATTGTTCAGCATTTCCCTTTCTACGTCCCTTTTTTCGTGCTCTATTTTACTTTTGTTATTCTTTATCCCTACTTTGATCTTTGCACTTTACTCTTATGGTATGTTCATCGACTTGCCGATTTCTTGATTTTCCGTTTTCAATCCGCCTTATTTCTCCACATTCATTCTTTCCTCTCCTCTCCCTTTCCCTTCCCTCCGCTGCTGTCGGTCCGCGCCGTCGCCACTCTCGCCATCCTCAGACGTCCGCGGCGGCCATTTGCGGCAAACAATCGGCGCGGCGCGCCAGGACCGCCGCCCACCCGCCAGCCATTGTTTTCTATTTTGCCCCTTGCTTCGGCCGGGCGGGCCGCGGCGACTGATGAAAGAAGGCCGTCTTATCAAGCGCCACGTCGCCGGGGGAGCGGCACCACGGCGTCCGACCGACCGGTCCTGTCCGCGCTGACGGGCCGGGTCGGACCACGGCGCCGGCCGGCTGGCGGCGGCCGACCGAGCAGAGTAGAACAGAACAGACCAGAATAGACCATATCAGACCCGGCCTGACCAGACCAGATCAGATCAGACGAGACGAGACCAGATCAGACCATACCAGACCCGGCTGGTGGACGACCGATTTGATCAACTTCCAGACCATCTCAGACTAAATCGGGTAGGACTCGTCAGTCGTCAGCCAGGCCAGACCTGACGTGGTTACAAGGCCATTCCCAACCGACCGTCCGGGTCAGCACCGGCCGACCTGACCTGACCTGTCTCAGCCCGACGGGGGGTTAGCGGTGGCACCCATCGACCCAGGCCGAGACCCCCAGGCCGACAGGGCTCGGGGTGGGCACTCCGGGCAGCGGGACACGCCATTTCCGCCTCTGCTACGGTCGGCGTTCCTGGGCGGGTGACCCAGTGAACAGTGCTCCATTGCGAATACATCACATAGGGCGAATATATCGTATAGACTATAAGGCGAATACATTAACGGTGGGTGTTTGAAGGCATCCTTGCTCCGCTCCGCAGGAATATACTTCATGTCCACCAGAAAATGGCTGCGTGATCGTGGCGTGTGAGGCGGACCACGGACGGTCAATTTAGGGTAATCGAGTTAATAAGTTAGCTTTATCGATCCCTATGTTTGTGTTATGAAATTCGTCTTAAGTGATAGGCATCCTGCGACATGCTATGTTGCTTTACGCTTTACGCTTGTTTTATCCCCTCTAATTCAATTTACCATTACAAATGCACGAATAGGTTTTGTCGCTTATCTATAATTTGGAGCATTCAAACCGAACATGAGGTTGAAAGACAGTTCGTAAATGGTACATTTTCTGTGTTGCTTTTAATGAGCTGCACAAGTCGGAGCTGTCTTACCTTTTTAGAAATCGAGACGTCTGTATTCATTTTATCTGGAACAGAAGACGTGTCATTCAAAACATGCACGAATGATTATGCAATTGCATGCATAAGGAACACAACATTTTCAAAGAAAGTCATTGTACCAACAGCTTGTAAATAGCCTAAAAAGAGCGTTTATCCTGCTAACAACTGTGAAGAAAAAACATATTGCATGAACGTAACACGCTCATGTGCGTTTGTTTCGTATTTCATTCCTTGTCTGGTTCGATTGTACTGTTATTGTCGGCAACGGATCCACCTACACTGCAACAGATTGCTAATGGAAAGGAACTCTCCGTTTCTGGATGGGCTACATGATTTATGTTTTGTTTATTTTCCCTCGTCTTCTCAGTTACCGGGACGGTAAATATTGTCATTTCACCCCAGTTGAGTCACGTTGTGTACCGTAGCAACATCTTCAGTCGTGCAGAGTGTGGCGACGAGGCCGCGAGGATCTCGTCAAGTCTGTCAGGAAAGTTCTCTGCACTGCCCAGCGGAGCAGGCCGAGTGAAACGAACCACAATTAAACCGTGGTAAGGCCAGCCCACACGATATAGCGCTGGATACTTGCGTTATCGTCATTAGTGAAAAACATGCTTTGCTTTGTTTTAAATCCGCAACATCCAGCATCAATGTCAAATGTCAAGCATTGTCTGATGGCCGTGAACAGTTTGCTGGTCGGACTGTTATTTGCATTAACTCAGAAAGATCGGTAAATATCAGATGGCAGTTATCTTTGCTATGCTCTTTGAGAAGCTGAATGCTCTGCTTTATTAGTTTACGATGAACGTTTTTAAACAAGTGAAATCACCCTCTCCGACTAAGAGGACCATCGTGACTGATTGTCCTGCGCGCACCCCGTGTTCCGAGAGGGACCCAAGAGGTCGGCTGACATTCCGGGAACCTCCATCGACCGTTCGTGACCCAGTGGCGTGCTTGGTCGCTAACTCAAACCGCTGCGCCCGTAGAGGTGATCTCTGCCGACTTTTGGACACCTTTTGGGGTACTACGATACGTTCGAGAGAACGTTATCTTTTCCATGGCCTGCTCATTTGCATAGCCGAGTAGCTTGAGTGCGATAGCTGCGCTATTATTGGCGATGGTCATGGTACCGAATTCTAATTTCCAGAGGCCACAGTGGAACAGCAGAGCTTTTCTCGCACCAGCGAAGGAGCGGTTGCTAGAATCCAGCGGCTAATACCGGCTCGGAGCCCAGTCTGGCGGGCGGCGTCTCCGGCTCGGCGGAGACCGCCTGCTCCGTCCGGCGGCCGGCCCTGCGCAAACGGCCCTCCAGTCGCAATGAAACACAACACCGACTGTGTTTATCCGCCAAATGGGAGCCGGTGTTGACCAATCAATGCCGGGCCGCCGGCCGGCCGGGCCCGGCGCCGCGCCTCTCGGAGTCGCCAGGCTGGGCCGGCTGGGGGTGGAGGATGTCTGGGTGGGTCAGGGCGGGGTGTCGGCGGCGACGCGGCCGCGTCGGAAGGCTGGCTGTCGGTGGCGGCAGTGATATGAGCGGGCGAGCCGTGCGCGGCCGCGCCCCGGGGGACGCCGGCGCCGGAGATGAGCCCGCTCGGATCAGATTGATTGAGTGCCGGCGGACCAGTGGAGCCGCCCTGCCGTCAGCGGGCCGCGGCGACACCAGAGACGGAGGGGGGGGGGGGGGCTAGAGAGCTGCTGACTGAGATAGTTTACACGCTGTTAGTGTTCGGACATCACATTGTGTGCTTGGTTATCAACATTGCACTGGGTAAAGGTTTGTGTGAATTAGGTTCGCACAAATATGTCACAATATTTAGAGACTAAACCGCCTGAAAACTAACAACACTGCAGCCTTCTGCCGGCATCCTGGTTTCAGAAAACCGGGCATTGGTATTGCAATAAACCATTTGATTCCTCTTTTCCTTGAGCTAAATCTCTATTTCTCACACTCTTCGCCGTTCTCTCTCTCTCTCTCTCTCTCTCTCTCTCTCTCTCTCTCTCTCTCTCTCTCTCTCTCTCTCTCTCTCTCTCTCTCTCTCTCTCTCTCTCTCTCTCTCTCTCTCTCTCTCTCTCTCTCTCTCCTCTCTCTCTCTCTCTCTCTCTCTCTCTCTCTCTCTCTCTCTCTCTCTCTATCTCTCCATCTCTCATCTCTCTCTCTCTCTCTCTCTCCTCTCTCTCTCTCTCTCTCTCTCTCTCTCTCTCTTTCTCTCTCTCTCCTTTATCTTTTTCCTGCTGCCTGGGCACCATTGCTCTTCCTCCTTCCGTCCTAACCTTCATTCCTCATGCGCTACCCATCTCAATGTATCCGGTCGCCCGCCTCTCTCTCTCTCCCTCTCTCTCTCTCTCCTCTCTCTCTCTCCCCTCTCTCTCCTCTCTCTCCTCTCTCTCCTCTCTCTCCTCTCTCTCTCTCTCTCTCTCTCTCTCTCTCTCTCTCTCTCTCTCTCGCTCTCACTCACCATCTTGCTCTTCCTCTCTAATTCTCTTCTTTCTCTCTATTTTTCCTCACATGTCCATAGCGCGCCCCTTTTCCTATCGCCCTCCCTTCCTTTCTCCCATGTCTTTGGCTCCTGTTCTCCCTCCCTCTTTCCCATGTCCGTGCAGCGCCGTTTGCCGCTCGCTCACCCACGGCCGGCCAGCTCCCAATGCGCCGTACAATCGGGCCAGTGGCGGTAACCGATGACGCTGCCGGCGGGCTCCATGGGCCGCCGTTCCGCCGCCCGCCGCGCCGGCCACTCGTCATCAGGACCGGCGCGGCGGCGCCCCTCCGCCACTCTGCCCGACCCGCCTCCGGCCCTCTCTCCAAATAAACAGAGCCGGCTGGCTGCCGAGGACCGTGTGTCGGCGCAGACGGGCCGAGACGGGCCGAGACTCGGGCCGGGGCGGGGAACTACATACAGTCCTCGACAGAGGGACTGTGTGTGTCGGACCCAGGCTCGGGCCGCGCCGGGGAACCACTGTCCTCGGCGGGGCCCGAATCGTGTCATCGCTCCGTCATCCGGCGCTCTCTCCCCGGCTCCCCACTCTGTCCATCGATCGGCCTCTCGTACTAGCCATTCTCTCACACAGCGGCGGGCGGCAGGAAATGGCACGCGGCTGTGGGCAATGTCGGACCCACGGGAGTCGGTTCACTTTGAAGGTCAACAGCATGTCATGGGCTGTCACGGGATGTCCACAGTGTGGCAACAGGTCAGGTGCATGCATGGTATGCTGCTGTGCATAGTCAAGGCATGCCGCCAGTTGCATGCGATGGTGAGGAGCGTGTTGTTGTTACTATTTGCATTTATATAAAGTATCACTTCTTGCAATGGAATCAATGTAATGATTATGCAACAGCGATGTCCGTATAAAACTAGGCCTACTGTCAGAGTACCTATAACTTCATCTGTCGAGATTTCGACAGAACTCCGAATAAACTAGGATCACAGATATGTTGGTCTCGCAAGTCTGCTGCTGTGCTGAGCATGACATACCTATATAGGCTGCCTGGCCATCGGTGCGGTTGAACAGAGATCGATGGCAGCCCGAGGAACGCATACGAACTTTGCACCATATTGCAATAAAAGTGGGTGCCAATGCAACGGAAATTTGTGCCTTAGTGCTTTTTCATTTCGTGACAAGAATACCACTGAGCTCATGAGCTGCCATTTTCCAAAGCGCAGATTAGGACAAATGGCGTAATGACAGCCTGCGCCGCTGCGTTTGGTGACGTCACCAGGCGGCATTATCCCGGCGGCGATGCGTGCCGGGCTGCACACTGCCGGAATCTCTGAACAGGCCACGGGGGTGCCGCGGGCGGAATCGATACAAATCCGACGCGGTATGATGCAGCGTCGGCTTCTCAGGAGTCGCTGGACAAAGGAGCCCCATGTTCGGGGTTACTCTAGATACTGTGTTTACAGCGGTTTTTGCTTCTGCGAACGGCTGATAAAAACGTCTGAAATGTAGATATTCCTGGCAGAGTAAACAAACAAAGCGTGACGTTTGTTGTGCACGGTGACTGGATTCCGAGGTCCCGGCTGAACTGAGGGTTCTTTGGAGTGAGATGTAGACAAATCAACTCTTTGTTTCGTTTGTTGTTGTAAAAGGCACAGGTAGGTGGTTGGAATGAGCTCATGTTTCCACTTCTTGCTGTCATTTTAGTGTATTCATAGGTTTCCTTGTTTCTTGTGCATCAAATTCAGGGAAAGTCTGTGTCGTGAAAGGGAGCCACGGATACTGTGCTCCTCATACAAATTTATCGAACGCTCTTTTCCCCGCTGAGACTGTGGGCATGCAAAGTCGATGAAGACAGTCAGTCATCGAATGTGATATATGTGGCAGCAATTAGAAAAAAGAAAAACCATAATGGACAGTCAATGATCATGGCCAGATTTATTACGTTTCCTAACCCATCAAGAAAAACATCGATTCATTCCTTATTCATCCCTGCCGGTAACGTTTTTCCCACTGTGCACTGTGCAGCCAAAGAAAACACCATCTTCTCAGTTTTCCAAGTCGTAATGACCAAAATGTGCGCCCTCGAGCTGTCTTTGTTCAACAGCGCCAATAACTTATACGACATCGCTCCCATGTCATCTTTCTGCGATGTCTCCAAAGTTGTCACAGTCTGGATGACTTTATTACGATCTGGCGGGTGACGGCGGCTCTGGTTGGGATCAGATCCAAATGTGGCCCTAAAACTCCTCGAGCCACTCTGGTAGTGGCTGAAATATGGTGGTCGGCTCCTTCATCGCATGAATGCCCGCTGTGACGAGACACGGTCACGTTCAAGGCTGTTTCGTACCGCTGAGAAATCTATGTACGGGTACTATTCGCCCGTTGAAATCACTTCCCCAGCCGCGTGCCTGTTCTTTTAATGAGAGACATTCTTCACGGTCTTCTCTTTTCATCGCCCCGCAGATGATCCATCAAAGCTAATCGATCTCTCGTCGCTACAAGCAAAACTTTCGTGTGCCAAACAAATCAGGATAGTGTTATCGTTTCGACGCGGCCCGTCCCATCCTGGCCGGTCGGTCCCGGGACACCGGCC